TGTTTCAAATATTGGTATGCCAAGTTGCGATCCCAAACAGCTGATTTCTCGTCCCCACGTAAGATATTACACCGAAGGCGCCACGAGCGGGGAAGAGGAGCCCCGCTCAGAGGTTCGACCGAAACGTCACATCAGAGCTCTCTCCCGTTCAAATTCTCAGCGATAGTTTTCTTTCTACTATTTCGTAAAAGAAAAATGTCGAAAGGTTCGCAGAAAGATCGGAAGTACACTGACCCGCGCAGGAAGCCACAACGCAGCGTGTTTTGGAAGAATGAAATGCCTTGTTCTCATTACTCCATGCTAAAGACGTGTCTCTTTTTTGCAGAACCGTGGCTGGTCAACTCCCTGGAACGGTTGGAATTTGATGGTAAAAAGAGAGAGTGAGCTTTTAAAGCACGTTTTCTTCGTGTGTTTTTGTTGTTTGCCGTACTCTCTCGTTTTCTGAATACTTGGATGCAACCTCAGAGTACACCTCGCGTCCAGCATGCACAAAGTTTTTCCTGTTTTTTTTTTTTTTTTTTTTATTTAAAACGATGTGACGCAAAGCGCTCATTTAGCGCACCAGCTGAAGAGGTGAACGTTGAGGCTCGCCAGTACCTCGCCCCAGTAAAATGCGAAAAAAAAAATGCCCACGTTGTTGTTGTTGCAAGCGTTGAAGTGGAATTTGGGGGGAGGGGGGGGGGGGGATTAGAGTCAATCGCGTACGCACATTAGGTGCATTTGTCACTGACTCCCACGTCGTGTTCACCTTACATCTGTCGCGCAGTGCACTGAAAACACGCGTGCGCAGAAGCACGGCACACTTAGCGCGAAAACCTGGTTCCCAGTATTTCTGTCGTATTTATTTTTATCTCTCTTACACCTATAAAGCTGTGAAGGCCCTTACGCACAGTTGAGTTTGGGAGCGTTTGACTGCGTTTTGGCTGCGAGAAACCAGACATCCCTGCTCCACACTTTGTACGAAGCACAGATGAACCGGTGATTCGCTTTCGTTTCTCGACACAACGCAGTCAGATGCACTCGAACGGAACTGTTCGCAGGGGACTTTACGGCACCAGCAGGCGGTAACATTTGTTCTTCGAAGCGTAAAAGAATGCTGAGAAGCGCGAATGTTCTATCCGCACGCAAGAGGTGTCGCGCAGTGTGCCCATTTCAAGCCATGCCTTCGAGCAGTGGCGTCGGTAGTCCAACCGCTCCTCCCGCAAAGCCCTGAAAAAAACAAAAACAAGTCCCTCCTAAAAAAGAAAAGAAAATATAGAAAAGTTATTATTGAGATTGACATATTTAGTTAGGCTGTTTCTAATGCCATTCCAGCGGTAAAAAAGTACGTGTGAATAAGCGAATAAACATAATGAAATTAAAACTCTTCACAAACATGTTTTACCATTAGGGACTTTTAGCAACCGCTACCGTGTTCCGTTATACCGATATTACTTTGTATAACCGATGAAGGGGTGCGGATATAAGCCGTCATAAATAATATTAGTTATTATCAGTGGCGTAGCCAGGAATTTTTTTCGGGAGAGGGGGAGGGGGTGGGGGCAGATGTGGCTGGGATGTCCATGACTTGGGGTGCGGAGTGGGGGAGGGGGGTCAAAATGCATGGGTTGCACTGAGGTCACATCGCGCACTTTTGACCACCATGTAAGAGGAGGAGAGGGAAGCTGGTTTTGTAAAAATTTTGAGTGACGGGTTAATCTTCTGGGAGGAGAATAGCGACGTCTGTGCAAATCCAGGAGGAACAGAAGAGGATCCTGATAAGAGGGGAGCTTCCTCTTCCCCTCTTCTCTGGTGGTTATCGGAGCACTCTTTGAATGACGTCCCGTGCAACCCATGGGGCAATTCAAGCCCCATAAGCACCCCCCCCCCCCCTCCCCCCGGCTACGCCCCTGGTGGTTATGGTATATATTTTTATAACAGGTTCTCAGCATGGCAGCTTAAGCGATTGCCTGCGAACCTTGCAGGCAACCTTATGAGTTTCGATCCCTGTTTTTTGGGGGGGTTTATTTTTAATAAGTCTCAGTGTTGCTATTTCAGGGTTTATTTTTTCCAACAGATTCGGTTCGGGGCCCTTCCACAGTTCATCCTAAGTCACTTCATCCCAGGACAGTTCATCCCGTACACTCCATGTCAAAGGCATTTTATTCCACGATGTTTTATCCTAAGACCTTTCATGCCAGGGACGCATTATACCACGACATTTCATGCCAGCAGAGCTTATGTGGCATTTATAGCCTGTAGAATGTACAAACTATCCGGGTATGGGATGTCCCTGGGATGGAGCGTCGTATGAAGTGTATGACGTGTCCGGGATGAACTGTTACGGGATAGAGTGCCATGGTATAAAGTGAGTAAACCCCGTTTTTCGGTGTCGGAAAAAAAATATTAATATCCCCCCCCCCCCCCCCCTCCCACTCCATGTATTGTTTACTTGAAATAGTTTTAATGTCTGAGGTGTGCTGCGAGATTGTCGCACGTGCAAAAAGACTGATGGGGAATTCCTGTGTCCCCGCTCGCGAGGAAGTTCTGCCGCATTTTGCCGCAGCAATACGATTTGATTTTAGAGGACTACCATCAGTTTCAAGCTAGCGAGCAGAGGGGGCGTGCACGAGACGCAGATAGAAGGCTTGACATGCTCTCTTAGCAAACCAGAAGACGAAGATAATCTTCCAGCGGTGAAAGCAAGAAACACTTTTTATAAGTGTATGTGATCATTCAAACATATTTTAGAATCAAATGTGCCGCTCAAACTCTGTATTGCTCGGTCGGAGTCTGACCGCTCGGACGGCATTTTTCCAGCCCTTTGGCGGCTGGCGTAAGGATCACGTCTATCGTTCTTCTAGATTTTGATTTTGCATGATCGTGGACACTGATCTCAATGACAATTGCTGGATCGCGCATCCCCGCTCCGCGAGTGCGGCCACAGGAAGGCCATCTTGCATGCAGCGAAATCGCGTTTTGACTAGCGTTGCAGAGGGTGGCGACAGCGTGCTGGAGACACGTTTTCTACTCGTTCGTAATTATTCGCCGAGAAACTTTTTCTAAAAACCTGTGTAAGCCGTGAGACTTGCTGTTGAGAACACAAGAAAAGTTTTACGAAAGCGCAGTGCCGCAGGAAAAAAGCACAACTCGTGGAAAGTAAGTTTCGCCGGTCTCGTGGCGGGATCAAAGCTTCCTTGGCACGCCGAAGCGATCTCTGTGCCTTCGCACGCTTAGATACCGATCAAGAATTGGTCGGCGCCGCGGCAAAGTTTTGAAGGTGTGTTGCGCGTAGATCTCTTTGGCATCATATATCGGCCACGGAGGTCTGGATTGTCCAGCTATTCCGGAGAGTTGCTATCAACAAAGGGGGGGGGGGGGGGGGGGGGGGGGCAATTTGTACTGTTGCTATTATGCACTATTAACCATGGCTATGCCCAAAATCTACTCTAATGGATCACATGTTAGCACAAATAGAGCACCGTATTGGACCAAGGAGGGTCTTCGAAGTCAAACCTACAAGACTGAGAGAATTAAAAATTTTCAAGCGCGGACCATACGGTCGTGTGCAATCTGTTGACTAATCACAATTAGGCGAACCGCGCTGAAACGTCTAATGCAATAATGTAATGAAAAAAGCGGTTAAACTTCAAGCGAGCTGGTTTAAGTTATAAAGGATGATTGAAACCTAAGACTTTGGTTTGAAAAAACAAAAACTTGTGAAGGAGGAAGAAAAAGGGACAGACAATGCCTCAAACTCAGCTAAAAACTTTATTGCGTCTAGGCAATAAAGTAGGTTGATAATGAGCAACCACTGCATGATCAGTGATGAGGAGCTGTTGTGCGCGGTATTCTGTAAACCGTCTACCGACGAAAAAATACGTTCGACCCCCCCCCCCCCCCCCCCCCCTCCCTGTCTTCCGTCGCCACTGGACGCTGGATCAAGCTCGTTCTTGGACCGCGAGTGCAGCAAGTTACAAATACAGTAGTCAGAGTAAAGTCGGTAAAGTAAAACGCTGCTCCAGGGGCACATACGGCTTCACGCACATTGCACTTAGAATACACATCCACAAGGCGTTGGATCGATCGGTAGCCAAGCGTGCGAAGGCACAGAGACGGAGCACTTGGGCGTGCGAAGGAAGCTTTGATCACGCCGCGACACCGGCGAAACTTGTTTTCGACGAGTTGTGCCTTTTTCCTGCGGCACTGCGCTTCCGTAAAGATGTTCACGTGTTCTCAGTGGCAAGTTTCACGGCTTACACAGGGTTTTATAGAACTCAATCGGTGAATGACGACGAAGGAGTAAAATACGTGTCGCAGCACGTTGCCGGCAGCCTCCGCAATGCTCCAGATATGCGGTTTTCTGACATGCAAGATGGCTGTCCGGAGGCTTCATTTGCACTGCAGCGACCACGCGGGAAGAGATCAGCCTCTCCCAACCTCGTTGGGCTCTCCGTTGGTGCTCTCCAACCTCGTTGGAGCGGTTGGTGCTCTCGGCCACTATCAGTGGCCACTATGCTCTCGGCCAATGGTGCCTCCTCAATGAATGGACGAATTCGATTGCGGATTGCGTCGCCGTCACAAAATGTCGCTTCAATTCTATCAGATGTCAAAACCGAAACTAGGAGCTTTTTGTGTTGATGTTGTTTATTTTTGAGCCAATATATATTAAAAATCACATATTTTACCTTTTTTGCCATAAATTTTAGTAGATTTGAATTCCTGCGTTTTATCAAATTTACTTTCTTTCGTTGGTGCCTCTTGTATTCAAACATTACGTCCGACAAGTTTGAGCACAAAAATGGTAAACATTTATCAAATAATTACATTATTATGTTTTATATTATTTTGTTATTTTTTTAATCTTTAAGCTTGCATAATTTGGCCGAAATGTATTGCCCTCCCTTTAAACCACTTTGAACCCATTGAATGCCAACTCGATGGTGGCGCCCAACTCAAGCTCGTTGGTGGCGCCAGCCCTTGCTCACCGCGACAAACTCATCGCCGGAAGTGACGTCAGTGCCAGCGTTTCCCCCGACATTTCGGTCGTTTCACATTATGGAGTGTTTTCGTTCGTTTCATTAGAATTTCGCCAATTTAAATGGACCCGCTGATTACGTGAGATTAAGCCAACAAAACATCGCAAGCGGGACATTCAGGTATGCTCGAAAATGTCGCTCAGGGTTGAGGCTCGAGGCCCCAGAGGCGGAGAGAGAACCGTTTTGCAGCGTGATCCTGTCAAGTCCAGGGAGGCACCGTTCGATCTAACAACGCCGCTAACGCCTCGTTAATCCGGGGATTACGCCACCGCTTCCGGGATTAGATTAGCCCCGGTCCAAGCGACTGACTCGACGAGTGCCGCCGCACATAACAATAGGCGTGGTTGGTTCGACAAGCATCTGACGTCGCTTTATTGATTAGGCGATCGAGACAGCTCCGTTCACTGGACACAACAGCGACGGGGCGACCTTCAATCTCGAGGTTTGCTCGCTCTTCGTAATGCACGGACCGAGCACGTGACGCGCCTGAAGCCCCGTCTCTGACCGGCTCCTCGTAACCGGCAAGTGTTAGGGGCCATCTGGAGCCGGCGTCCGACGTTGCACCGCTGGCTCCGTACAGTTACCACACACCGCCGTTGCTAGGTGGCAGTTCAGGTGGACCCCCGCTAAGAACGCTGTTTGTGCTGTTCCCACGGGGCTCTTGGCATATCGCACACTGGAAGTCTCTGTATCGTGCCAGCGGGCCTGGTCTTATCCGAGAACTTCGGTGTACAGTGTACACAGCGCCAGCATAATTTACCTGTCCATAGCTACGAGAAAAACTCTTTTTTTCCTTGGCAAATCTTTTGGGTTTAGAAAACGCTGAGACTGAAGTAGAAATCAGACTAAAAAAGAGGACTCTTCAGTAACAGGATTAAGTAACTATTTTCGCTACACACCCAGCAGATAAAACTGTACTTCTGTAATTTTATTTTACTTTCCTAGGTATTTAAAGTCTTAGCTCTTGCGCGGGCACGCATTTGGTGGTTGATGAACCCCATAGCATTTTAAACTCTCCTTTGGACGATTTATTGCAGCTAACTCGAAAGCACATCAACTCCGTGTCACAATTGAGAGAGTTACAAAACCCAGTGCCTTGTTTTTAAAAGACTTGGATCTCGAAAAATGACACAATACGGTGCATTTGGTGAGTGCACTTCTTGTTACAGCATAAGTAACCAAGTGGTTGGTGGATGTTCTCTCTTTCCTCAAGCACACTTGGACAGGTTGCGGGTTTGTAAAGCGGGGCTAAGGTGTCCTGGGAACAGATACATTTGCATAAAATCTTGCACTGCCTGATATAGCCCCCTCTGATTGCACTAAGTAACTGGTTTTTGTCTTTTTTTACATTTAAAATATGGTCTGATTAGCTGTACATGTACTGTATCTGCATGCTACTATGTGGAAATCACCAATATTTACCCCGCGAGTCAAAAGGATTATTGGCTGTTTGGAGGGAGTGCATGAACCAATTTCTTTTGTGTATTGCACCAGTATTTATTACAGAGGTGCCCGAAGGTGGCAGACCCTGTGTGTCAAGATTTCACTGAAGAAATTACCCCAGTAAAACAATAGAAATCGAGAAATTAAAATCCAAACCTACGGCATCTATCTGCCAGGGGAAAGGTGTTCGATTGGCGTCATGGCGGTAAATCCTAGCGAGAAACATCAAGGAACAGATTTATACGGTTTCTTGAAAGAGCCAATGACCCCTAGAGTCCCGAGGTATTATGGGCTGTTCTCTATCTATATGCTTTGCAATGTCCCTGTTGCTTCCAGCAATTCTTATGAGGGATTATTGGGTCACTAGGCCAAACAGGCTGGTGAAATCATGCGTATGCATCAAACATCTTTTGTGCAATTTCTGTCACTTACCCTTTGATGTGCCGAGACAAGAAAACCTTGGCTGTTGTGTGCGACGGATCTAGCTGCGCGTTCAAAGCTCGAACGGTCGCATCGTGGCGACGACATGTTGGGCACCCACTGTCTCGTTTCATGCCAATTGGGTACCTCAGGGTCAGTGACGAGGTAATAATGTGTGCCTATTTTTGTTATGGCATTCAACAAAGGCTGCCATGCTTTAGCTTCAAGACAAGCGCTCCATACTCGTTTGGAAGTGGCAAAAAGACGTTATTTCCCTTCGCCAAAAACGATGTACACACGAGGAAGAGAGTCACGCTTGTCTGGGGCCGTTTAAGCTTTGCAGGTTTGTGGACATTCTCTCGATTCATAGAAATGAGGTGTCTGGCTACATTCGCTGCTAGTGAAGCCTTGTCTCGACCTACGCAGAAATGTGCGGCGCCTCCACTGTCTTTTCGATGCATTATGGAAATCTGATGTTGGCACTTAGAGGAGTACCTACGTATAGAAGGGGTTTGTGTTGGTTTAGCATTTTGCTATTTTAAAACGGGAAGGCATGACGACCAACGAAGAGGTGCATGACGACCAACGAATAGAAGGGGTTGGTGTTCCATTTTTTTTGCATTCCGAAGTGGCAGTGAGACGAGAGATGGTATCCGCCGCTTTCAGGGTGTACAAAGCGTACGAGTTCCCTACGCCATGCGATGCGTGGTCACTGAGAGACCTCTCGGGAGTTTCCGGAAAGGTCTCGAGTTCTGGGCGGTGCTCTGGCCGGCATAATTAGCTATGTTTAGATTGGGTTTCGGTCGCGCATCCCCCACGCTCGCCCGCGTACGCGAAATAAAACAAGAGCAAAAGGGTTGAAAACAAATCGTCGCAGCATGTCGATCGGATGGCGATGGCATCAGCTGCCCCTTTATTGTATTATTTTTCTAAGACCTCGGGGGTTCTTCGAAATGCCCTCTCGACAGGTCTAGACTGACGCCCGAAAGACATGCACGATGGGACACCGCTCTACATTGGCATTAAAAGGTCGCGTCTCGTGGACACGAATGGATGCCACTGTGTTCCCTGGCAGAGAGTGCCCGTCGCCGCGTCCCCACTTCACCGTGCCCCACGCATGTTTCCAGTGATGACCTCGTCGTCGCCGAGCCACAGCAGCAGCGGGTCCCACCGGGAGTTTGAGGAAGACCTGCGCAAGGCCCTGGACGAGGTGCCGCCCCTCAACGAGAGCAGGGACGCGGTCCACTCGGGAGGCGCCATGCCCCACCCGGAGGGGTCCACCAGGGGAACCCGAGCCCCGCCCCCCACCTCCTTCGGGACTTCCGCGCCCTGGGCCGCCCAGCCTCCGGGTGGGTCCTGTTGAGCCAAATGCACCATAGGCGGGGCCACTTCATTTTGTGTGTCGTTTAATGTGGTTGTGAAAGGGATGCCGTTGGCCACCTTAAAGGGTAACTCCGGCCAAAAGTTGGATCAAAATAAGACTAATATCTACTCATGGAGACTAAATACGAGCACTTCCAAAATATTGCGCTAATGGTAAACCGCGATCCACTCTTAAACTAATATTAAGAATGCTACCGCCAGCTTCTCGGCTGGCATTCGGCAGGTTGGCTGTTTGTCAAGCAACCTTGTGCCCCGATGTCATGTTTGTACTCAAGGAGGTAACTTGTTCGTACTGCCACTTCTTTTGTCGTGGTGTTCTGCTTTGTTTTCAGCCGTCCCAGCGGACGATTCTTGCTTTTTATGTTATGTTTCAGCGGCGATTGTGCACAAAGATTATTGACTCGCTTTTCGCTCGAGTATGTCATGATGCTGAAGTGCAAGGAGCCCAGGGGACTGGCATCGTTGTGCGATGCCAAGCGTACCTTGCCGTGCTGTAAGTTTGTGCAAACAGCACGCCACGCAATCCAAACGTGCGTTCTCACCAGTTCTCCAATAACTCGAAGTTGAAAAAGGTTAAAAATGATAGATCGTAAAGGTTAAGGGGGGCACTACCCAAAAAAGTGAATTTTTGAACCACTTGTCTGATTTAAATAACATTTACAGGGTTTGTTTCTGTTGATGTTGAGAACATTTCTGCCAAATATTGTTAACCTTGAAGTACAAAAAAATTTGCAAATGTTTAAAGACGAAAGTGGGCATGTCTGCGTAGGAAAACTATAGTTTTGAAAATACTTATAAATTTTGTCGTTATCATGTGTTATATTGCTTTAGGACAGTCCAGAGCAGATAGCTATGGAGCTATATTTCTATATTATACCATCTTTCATGACAAGAACGCCACATAAACTCAAATACTGTTTTTTAGATTTCCATTCTTTGTCCAAAATTTTGATTCTTGAGCATGAAAAATTACAAACATAGAAAATACAAGCTCATAGCTATCTTCCCCTTTAAATTTCACTCTAGAAGAACTCATAGAAATGAATCCAAGTTGCGTAATAACAAAACAATAGTTTTCCTAAAGTGAAATTTATGCCGAATAGTGGAACGGAGAAAAGTGTGTTCAAAGTGTTCCAACCCCTGCCTTTTCTTTATCATCGGACGACCGAAAATATTTGATAAAAAATTAACTGTGCAGTGTAGACTAATGAAACTTTCTGGGAATACTCTCTAGGTGTTGGTGGATGTAAATATGACATTTTTTAAAATCAACTTTTTTTGCCGAAATTGTTTTTTCTGAGTAGTGTCCCCCCTTAAGCCTTCTAGTGGTAATGAGACTAGTACTCACACCGTCCAGCGACATGGAGCAAAGGCTCCAGAGTTTAGGCGCCTTTCGATCCCGACTCTTTTGTTTTGCACTTTGGCCATGAGACGACGCCAGTTTGTGCTGCACATTTCTTTTGCCGCCAGCTCGACGTCTCGCCGTATCGCGTGTCTGCCACTGGATCGTGCCGTTTGGAGCTGCTAGGACACAAATAAGATTGGAGCCACCCGGCTCCCAATGGAATGACCGTGGAATTGTCTCGTGAACACGGCGAGAGATTGACCGCCGTGCGTCGGCCGTTTTGGACCCCGCAGCGACGACGAGCGTGCCGCTGACGAGCCCGAGCCCGGTGCAGAACGGGAGCGACCCCCGTGTGATCAAGCCTGGCCAGTCGAAGATAGACTACCTCAGGCAGTGGAGCGTGTCGACCTACAAGTGCACCCGACAGATGCTGTCGGAAAAGCTGGGGAAGGTCGGTGCTGCCTCGCTCTTCTTGCGCTTCCTCTTTCTCATTGAATTGCGTGTTCCAGCATGTCCCACCGAGCATGCCTGTCTGGAAGCGGAGTGTTGAGCAAGCTTATTTCTCCCAAGGCCACTTGCAATCTTTCATCCCTCCATCTTTTTACTTTGCCGTAGATTCTTGCGAGGAGCCCAAATTTGATGAGCGCTACTTTTCCGAACACTGCCCTTCGACGTGACTGTGCACGCTGCATTGAACTGTTGCCTTAGTCGAGTTTGGGATGTTCTTTTTAGATTTACTCGGTCGGTTAACCTCGTGTCCTCTTTTCAGCGATAGCATTTATTAGAAAAGCCATCTCTCGAACCAAAAGCGTCTCCCATTATTATTATGAGACAGTTGCTCTGCTCATTCTTATATGAATAATCGTGATAATATTTGTTGCTGTCTTGGCAGGAATGATTTTAGTTGGGGGGTAGCAGGCCCGGTCACTTCATCCCGATCTGATTTCATCGGCCAATTTTAAACTTTGTTGCACGGCGGTCTCGGGGTCAGGATTGCATAGCTGGAGAAAATCTTGTTGCACGAATTCCCACAAAAATGGCTACAAAAATTTAGCCACAAAAATGGGCATTGGATAGAAACTCTACAGTGCATGGCCGTTTCAGGCTCGGTTATCGCTTCAGTTGGACCTTACACAGTGCACTCTTGATTCGAGAACACTGTTTTTGGTCTCGAACTTGCATAAAAATAAGTTGAGGGAATTGGCGAAGGCCCCGACCGTTACCTCTGACCGGCGAGGATGACGGGCCCTTGTTTTGGGGCATTGCGACATGTCAGAAAAGATTGAGGCTGTGTTACGGAACGTGGCATTGATAAAGTAATGGAGGTAACTTCTCGCGTTGCATTTCCAACCTTCCCGGTCACTGTTTGGCACCGAGCTACTGATGAGAACAACTGAAGCAACGTCCGGAACCTTTAGCAAACTGCAGTGAGTATAGCCATTCGCTTCTTATTTAACTGGCATGGTGGCGGGGATGTCGCGGTTTGAATATGAGTGCCGTTGTCTTTGTGTCCTCACATTTTGTTGAGGGAGCGACCATGTTTCTGGACTGGTTACAATAACAGAAAGCAACATTCCAAACCAAAAATAAACAAACTAAGAAAACTAAAAACATATTTTTTGCATTAAAGAAAAAAAAAAAAAAAACATGTTACGAAAGTTTACGTTGGCTTACGTCGGGAGTCTTTGAGGCATCTGTGCTTCGAACGAAGCGTGGCAATGAGTTCAAGGAGTGGACTAGCACGCAATATTCAAGGCACTGATATTCCGGTGATTTAAGCGTAACGTAAGAAAGTATGAGGAAACGCATGAATGGACCTTTAAGGGGTATTACAGCAAAATTTCGGCGCTCATTTGGTCTGTATCGCGTCGGACACCCCAATCTCTCGTTGAAAAAGACACAAAAAGGAATTTGAAAACGAATTAAACTTTTAGCAAATGGCGGACGTCGCTAAAGCCTCGTCGAAATGTCCGGCTTGGAACATTTGACAGGTAGTGACAGAGCATGTCTCGCCTAAAACTATAGCGCCTCCGGTGCTCCGTATATGCAGCTTGCGCGTGAACGTAGCTTTGGCGAGTTTGTAATTGCACGCACTTGCCCGCACGAGCAGACGCATGGCGGTGGCCAGATGCCCGGCTTGCAATCGTCTTGTCGACATCAGCATTGCGCTGCAGCTTTGCTCGTACCGAGACAGGTTACGTCACGATTGCGCCGGATGTCACATGCCCTCCGCTGGTTGCTCTCTAGGCACTTGCCAGAATGGGCCATTTATATTGAAAAATACAGCCATCAGGCTCAACATACAAATGTGCGATTATCATGTATGAATATTGTGGATCATATTCAGCCTATTTCTGAACACGAGGGGTGTATTTCAAGTTTCGTTGAAATCAAATCAAGTCAGGTCAAGAGTCCGGGGGAGGCTCCTCTTTCCTCTTCAGCAGAGCGAACGCTGGAGAAGAGGCGACCTCCTCTCCAGCATTCATTCTGCTAAAGTGTAAAGAGGAGCTTTTCCCAGACTCGTAGCCCGTCACCGGCTATAGGGAAAGTCAATAGAATAGTAACCATTACGTTTGGCAGAAGCACTAAGCCGGTTTTGCCATTGAGTTGTCGAGTAGCCGGGTCGAAAATAATTTTAACGGTTTGTTTCTTTTTGGGGAGAAGCTCTCGCGTGAGTGACGCCCGCTTGACTGCGGGATGGATGGAGGGAGCGACTCGAAGCATTGGGTTTCCTTCTTCGCGGGCGTGTGCAGGGCACAAGGACGGTGGACACTGAGCTGGAGGCCCAGATCGAGCTGCTGAGGGACACCCAGGCCAAGTACCTGCACGTGCTCAGGCTCGCCAGAGCGCTCGCCTCGCACTTCCACCAGGTGGGCCCCTGAGACCCTCTTACGCCGACCCATGCGGTTGGAAGCGGAGTCCCCGACCCTCGCCCCACTCTCTCGTAGAGACAGCCCGTTCCTTCGGCGCGGGTAATGTGATGTTGCAATTGGAGCATCTGGTTCGGCTCCGCACGGCGTGGGTTGTCCAGAAAATCCAGTTTGTCAGTCTCGTCCCCTCCGGAGATCGCCAAGGCGTGCAATTGCATGGCCGTGTCGCATGCGTGGAGGCTGTCTGCACTCTTGTACTGAGGAAATGGCTCGTTCTGGGCACCTTACTGTGGCGTTGAAACGGCCGTCGAGCCAGCTTCTTCCCAGCCTTCGGTCTGCCTGCCACGCGTCGTCAAATCGGCGCTTGGTGCCGTCCCGCCCTCGCGTCTGCCCGCCTCGTCTTCCGGTCGGAGCCAGACTCCGCAACCCCGCCACGCCCTCTGCGCGAGAGGTGGCTGAACTGGCTCACCCTACGAACTTGCATTCGGGCGAGGGACGCTGCGGCACGGAGTTTGGATCGTGCCGCATTGTAAGTTGAAAGTGGTCTTGAGTTGGCATTGAAGGACATCGTGGTAGCCGGCGCGTCATCCGACATCTCCATCCACGCGCATAGAAGTTCCGGCAGAAAGTATGAGCGAGAGCGAGTGTCGCCGTATCCGCAGTGTCCCAACTCCCGGCTGCCGAAGCTTTTGCGAAGCTTCGGGTCCGAGAGCGACCTGCAGCGGGATGGACGTCTGCTATGTCTACCGTTGCTGTTGCGACGATGTGACGATTTGCGATTTCCGTGCAGGTGGTGCAGACACAGGGGCTACTGGCGGAGGCCTTCCAGGAGCTGGCCCACCGGAGCCCTCCGCTGCAGGAGGAGTTCCGCTACAACGCGGAGGCCCAGCGCTCCCTGGGCCGCAACGGGGAGACCCTGCTCGGTGCGCTCAACTTCTTTGTCTCCTCCCTGGCCACCCTGTGCCACAAGACCATCGACGACACCCTGCTCACCGTCAGGCTCTACGAGAGCGCCAGGTAGTACCTTCTCTCTCGCCCCGCATGCGGTAGGCTCTCTTGTCTGGGGCAAAAGAGGACGCTCTCTGCATCCAAAGTGTGTATCCAAAGAATGTTTGTTGGTGCCGACGACGGCCCGAACAAACGCGGGGGACGTCTTAATTCGCCACGTAAAGGGGGAGGTTACCCAAATGAAAATCAGTCCAGCTGGAGCTGGATTATGGGACCGGTTCTAGATGGATCAAGTTGAATCCAGCTCAATTATGTCTCATTTCTGGCGAGTCCAGCTGGGGCTAGTTCCACAATCCGGTTCCAGCCAGACCGACGTTCGCTCGAGATGGTAACGCTTTGCGACGAGCCAAATCTTTTTTTTTACTAACATAATGACGGCGAAGGCGGGTGTAGCCACGTGTAGCAGTTTGAGGCATGGCCAAACCGCTACGGCAGTGGCGCCGGAAAGTGGTTCCCGAATGGCAAAGCTCTTCCTTTGACAGGCTGGAGTACGACGCGTACCGGACGGACCTGGAGGAGCTGACCCAGGGCACCCAGGGCAACGCCATTTCTTCCAAGATGGACGAGGCCCAGCGTAACTTTGCCCTGCACAAGGACAAGTACGAGAAGCTCAAAGCGGACGTCACCATCAAGATGAAGTTCCTCGAGGAGAACAAGGTGCCTCCCCTCTCTCTTGCCGGTCCTCTCGACACGGGGCGCCTTCTGGGGCGCGTTTCCGAGTCTGGAGCGAGAGTCGCACGGCCCGTAGTACCGCCAAACGCGCGACTCATAGTGGCACTGACTTCGAAAGCCAAACAAGTAAAACGAACTGGATTGTGTTCAGTCTTCTTATGAAACTGTGCCTCGTGCGTACTGAGGAAGGTAACGCCTCGCATGCACGCTTATGGTTTCCTCGTTCGAGTTTGGCCACTAATGAGAAGTTGCGCCTGCAAAAACGAGGGAATGCTATGGGAGGGAATTCCCAGCGGATGCAGATAGCCATTATGCGGTGAACAAATTCGGTGTGCTCCCGCCTGCCCCGTTCCGGAGCCTGCGGAAGACTTCTTCTTCGCCCGTTCTTGGTTCCTTCCACGCCCCGTTTCCTTGACTGGGTCATGGATGGAAACGAGTGGGTCGACTGAATTGGGCTCTTTGTTGCAGGTGAAGGTGATGCACAAGCAGCTGCTGCTGTTCCACAATGCGGTGTCTGCCTACTTCTCGGGGAACCAGGCCTCCCTGGAGGCCACCCTGAAGCAGTTCAACATCAAGGTGAAGAACCCGCCGGGATCCTGGCTCGAGCAGTGAGGGCTACGGCCCGCCCCCGCGGTCTTCGCTCGCCTTCCGACGGGCGTGCCTCCCAAAGAGTGCCGGGTACTGCCAGCTAACGGCTGTGGCTAAAGAGTGGCTAGAGTGACGACCATCCCGGAAGTTTGTGCCGGCTAAAGGGTGTGGCTAAAGTGACTTCTTAGCCAGTAGCCCGTGCTGGCTAGAGCTTGGCTAAAGAATGTGGCCAAAGCGACGCTTCATGGTTGGTTGACTGTGCTGACTAAAGCAACGCTTTAGCCACTTTAGAAAATGAGGTTCGGAAGAAAAAAATCGGATTGGCTTTCTACGGGATTGTTAGTCGTAGTAGGCTTTCCAGGTATACTCGAGTAGAAACGGGTCGGCAAACTTGTGTGTTGTCTGTTAACGTTTGTTTTTGTTAACAATTGTATTTTGACGGGCCAAGTCATTAATTGCCGTTTTGTTGCGCGAAAACTAGCAGCAATCCATTGGGCCGCTTGTCCTTTGTTGTGACCAACTAAAATAGAGGCGGTTGATTTTTTTTCTTTGTTACTATTTTTTTTATTATATATAAATGTTTCTTCCCAAAAGTTGTGTTTTTGGAAGCTGAGTTAGGTTGTTAAAAGGTTTCTTTTTTTCTCTGTGTTTCATCGCTTGCTTTTGTCATGTGTGACATTATTAAGGTATCAATTTCTTTACACACATCTGGACTCTTGTCTACCGTGCAATACCAAGCAAGTGCCCGCCCTAAAGTTCGAGATAATCGGGAAGACGTTGGTATTGGCATTACCGCTTTGCAAGCCCTCGATACACCCCTCGCTCATGCTTAAAACTTTTTAAAGTAGGAGATTGGTGCTTTTTGCGAAGTGGGAGGCTGTTGGTTATTTTAGGGTAGCCATGGTTTTCTGGTCGTACATAATTTTCTTGCCTCGAGGTTTCCATTAATCTAAAGAAAATGGAAAATGAAATCGCCCGCTTGCAGTTTTAAAAAAATACTGTGGGGTACATAGATTTAATGCCTTCCATATTTTTTTAGCAGAAAACGAAGGGTACCCGGTAGCCGACAAAAAATCTTGTCGAAAAGGACGCACTTCGGTTCTTTTCACCCACCGCCACAGAAGATGCGTGGAAAAGTGATGTGCGGCGAGCCGACATTTCGTGCTTCTTTCGTTGCCGCCCGTCTTCTTTTTTCTCCTCTCTGTGCTTTTGGGCGATGTGCAACTTTGGTTTGCACTTGAGGCTTTTTTGTGCTCGTCTTTTTTTTTTTTTTCAAAGTGTTGGTTTTTTGGGAGAAGTTTGTTTTGCCAACCTTAAGAAATTTCCAGGCCTGGTGGTGCGAGCCCAGTGTCGAAGCTAAGGAAGCGACGCGTCGGAACTGACATTCTTGGTGAGAGCTTTTGAAAGGTACCCAGCGGTGCGTTTACGCGGCGCAGGTGGTACCGGTTGTCTCTAAACAGAAACTGAGTCGGGTGAATGCTCCAACGTAAGGCGCGAGAGACTCGTAGCTGTTGTTAGCTTTGAAGCTACCCCGTGAGGAGTCGGAAATGGGGTGCCCGTCCTCTGGGTGACTCGCGCAAAATCTCCAATGCCCGGCGGTCGGAAAAGAAAGCCGTGGCGGCGACCTTCGGCAACCCGACCGGAAGGCCGCTGGGCAATGTCCGGCATGTGCCGGAAATTGTCCGTGGCTGAGCAATTGCTTCGAATTTCTGAGCCCCCTACTGCAACGTCTGCCGTAACTATTGTATAAGCTACTTGAAGTGGCGCCTAGCGTAGGCTGGCTCATTTCTCCGCTTGCGAGTATTTCAGACGCCGCCGTACTTGGTCTCACCCTACGACGACGGAATGCAGCCAAATCTAAAGCTAAAGTCGAGGCAAGAGGTACGGGCTGCCGAGTTTAGTCGCAAACCGGTTAGAAACTGTGTGCTACGGCGTATATGTTGAGCGCAAGTTCGTCTGCTTCTTGCACAGAGGTTGTTATGATGTCAGAATGGTGAGCTCTTATTGGCTGATTGACAAAAATAGTGGGTAGACCTCAAGGCATCTAGCATTAAGGTCTACCCACTATCCTTCAAATCAAAGCCGAGCTGAATTCAGCGTCTCTTTGACGTCACCGCAACCCCTGTGCAAGAAGCAGACGATTTGCTCTCCACGGTGCCCCGACGTGCATATCTGTGCACGAATGACCACGTCAAAGCAATGTACCATTAGCATGCTTACTAATTTGCTCATGATTAGACCTGAGAGCTCGTAGTTTTGGCTTTGGCTTGGGCTTTGGCTGCAGTCCATCGTAGGGCGAGACCAAGTACAGAACAAGTGTTCTCACGTGTCTAGGTTTTTTTTTAGATAATTTTGCCGGTTAGCTCGGAACGTCTGGTTGTGAAGCACTGAGGGTTGTTGAGACGGATTTGGCACTGGTTGTATCAGTCAGTGTTCCTTTTTTGTTTTTTTCACTGCCACTGCGAAGCTGGCAGTTTTTTCAACAGTGGTTTAACATTCCCCTCCAAACATATCAGTGAGGAAAGTGGCATCATTGTAGCCGTTGTCTGCAGCATTGTTGTTACGCGTGTACGGAGTGGGTCACGTGCATAATATACTGCGGGAGTCTAGTCTCAAAGCCAGTGGGCTGCCGCGCATCGTGAAGCTAGAGTTTTGCTGTCATCTTTTGTGGAAACGCTGGGAGGCAAACTAGGCTTAGTCAAAAGCGGCGAGCAAACATTGGCATCTCTAAAAACCAGTTTAAAAATGTCGTTGAAATTGGGATCTTTTCAGCAAAAGTGGCAAGTGTCTACTCTCTACGGTTATGTTCGCGGCAGCTGCACCGAAATTGGCCAACATTTCGTCACTTGTGTTTCACGATTACTTTTCTCGTTTAATTGCCAAAATATAGTGTGGGCAGTTAAGCTACTTCGTGATTGGCTTCCGTAATCAACAACCCTTTAGGCGGTAAAAGAAATGGCTAATTTCTGGCTTAGGTCTAGGTAGATTTGCGCCGAGAAATTCTTAATCGTGAGTTGGTTGAAGGGTTTATTCAGTTAATTGAGGTTCTAATGATATATTTGACCCATAGCTTAGTTTGTTTATGCTTATTGTCATTTATCATTCGGTAACATTACTCTTACTGTTTCGTTGTGTCAGTAGGGTCGAAGAAAACTGATAATCAGGGTGGCCGTACGTGCTGCAACGAATTTGGGAAAGTTGTATTTCTGTATATAGACTTAACTGGCGAGGCATTGCTGTAAAAACCACGGAACAGACGCTTGGGTTTATTCACTTTATGCTTGTGCATAGGTTGCATTGTTCGTAAAAGTGGCTTTGTGTGGTCACGCCTTTTAGACTCGGACTGAAAGTCAAGTCACAACATCTTTACGAATCGGTTACACTGTCAGACGGTAGCACAGCACATAAAATAACTGTTGCGATACATTTGTCTTCGACTCATACTCAAGGTTCAGCTTTGCCACTTTAGCTAGCGACGGGGCTGCTAGCTGGATTGGGTTACAAGCCGAAAGGGGGCGCCAGCTGTCGTTCAGCGATTCGTTCGTTGTCAGAATGTAATCGGTTTCTTTGGTTTTTCTCCTTTTTTCCTATCTTTTGCAGTTGCACTAAAGCAGACAACACTGGCGTTCGGTGTGCCGTCTCTATTGTCCCGTCCTGGTGAAAGAAAAAATAAAACTCAAAAGATAGCGGACGGCACCATAACCAAACGTGAAGACGGAGAGCGCTTTGATGCGGGCCTTGGTTTCTTTATATTTAGGTTTCTTATTATTTTTTCATCTTCTTGCAAACACACCTAGTCATCTTTTGAAATTAAGCTCTGCACTACTTTCTTATTTCTGAGAGCATTTTTTTTTTTCGTTCTGATTTTTTGGCGAGATTTGCGACTGTACATAGCGTGCTCGCAAACACTTTTGAGGCCTCAGTTTTGCGAGCTTGTTCGTGTCATCGTCTAACGTGGCGTAGACGAGCTCGTTGCGCTGGGGAGAGAGCGCACAAAGTGCGGAGGGGCCGGGAGTGTGGCGTCACTCGGACACAAATTGTGCCGCCCAGACCAGTCAGAATCTGCGACGCACTCGCGATTAAAAGTGTGGGGTCGCCAGGTAATGCATTGTAGAAAAGGTTCAAAGGGAAAACCTTTTTTTTTTTCTTTAAGAAATGCTCGCACCTCGTTTTGAGTAAGATGTGCCTTTTCAAACGTCTCGTTTTCTCCAATTCGGCAAAAAGGATGAGCGATTCCTCATTCAGCTGTAAACTGGCTGTTGAGAAACACCGCAGTCGTGCAGCCTTTTTGTTTCCCTGGAATTTCCCATCGCGGTTGGGAACTTTGTCAAAGGGATTGCGAGCAGGCGGACAACTTCCCGACAAGCGTTCCCAGATTCCTTGCCGAAAGCCGCCAATCCAGCTCGTGGCACACTTGCCAATTCCCAAGTCTGTTCTAGAATGCATCGCCACTTTTACTCGAAACTGTCAATATTTCTCACACGTGGTGGTCCGGGTTTGGGCGAGTTTGTTCGAGCGCGAGACCGATGATAAACTTGTAACAGGACATGTCCGGTGCTTTGCGGCGCGTTCGACGGCCGCTCCGCCGCCGAACCGTTGTTGGCTCGTCGCGGCACTTGACTTGCCTGAAAATTGTCCGATGCCGCTCTGGTTCAAGCATTTTTGTTTGGACGCATTTTCTGTTTTGTGCCGGTTTTTTTGTAAGAGCCTTGACCCATGACCTGTTCTGGCTTGCCTCGGTTCCGAGTGCCATATGTTTTGCCCTTGCTTCCCCGCCCCCCGATCGGTACGCCGTAAAGCGGATTAATAAAAAAACAAATTGAATGGACACACTAAAACTGTTGTCGTCTCAATCGCCCAAATTGCGGTCTTTGCTGCGCTACGACCTCGAGGGCAACTACATTGTGCCTTCCACTTCGGCTCGTTTACACGTCTCACTTTCACCCCTTTCGCCTTTATTCCTACAGCAGCCGAAAAAAGAAGACCGCATCTCCACATGGTGAATGATGTTGATTGGGGCGAAGTTCTGGTGGTGCTGATGATACTGATTTTTATTGTTCATAGGTAGTGCTAATGGTGCTGATTATTTTTATTGCTCATAGGTAGTGCTGAGTTCCAGGTTGTGTTTCGACTTCATTATTACTGCTTTATAGTCGGTGCAATGCAGAGCCAGTGGTTCTCCTAGGATCCTCGGTTCTTGGATCCGCTAGAAGGTGTGAGAATGTATCTCCACCGCTTAAGTCAACGGTCCATGTCAGAAAGAGTGTGTGTGGTATGGAATGTGGTTATATACGCATTTGACCGCAGTGCCCTCTCGTCTATAAACGTTGAGCCAATGCATGCAAAGTTTAACGCGATTATATATGCATTTGACTGCAGCCCCCTCTCCTGTATAGACGTTGAGCGGTTACATGCAATGTTTCATCCATGACGGAAACCCCAGCTCTTGAGTTGCTACCACATCTCAAGAGCCCCCTACTCGTCCCGCTCTAAACAAAAGAACCCCCCCCCACGGGTTTTCTTTTCTTTAGAGCAATAAATGAAACTTGAATTACTTTCAATCCATCCGGGTCAAAAGCAGTCCAACTGTATGTAAGGTAGCTGTAACACAAGACTACCAAACCGCAACCTGCCTCGATTTAAACACGTTCCGGTTTGGGAAAGGGGAGGGAATTGCGAGCCACACTTTAACATGTGAAAAGACGTATGCGGCTCGCGAGTCGCAGCTTGGACACCCCTGGTCTATAGAGTGTTTTCGCACGACGTCAATTTGCCATTTTGTTGTTAGCTTGTTTTTCAAAGAAATTTACTAATATGAATGATTACGTCACAACCTGCTGAGATGTCAACCTGGTTAGGCTTACAAGCTTCTGTGCATTTAAAGGGTCAGATAAGTCCTTGCAATGCTCGCCTTTGGCACGCACCAGAAAGCTTGCAACAAAATGGGGGACAAAATTACATCAGTGAAAACAGTGGCACAAAAATTTGGAGCGCCAGCAATTCTTGCTTTGAGAATGTGTGTCTGTTCCTTTGACTAAAAGTTATTTTCCTTTTCTGCACCAGTCTCTGGTGTTAAACGACGTGGTTGAGAAGAGTGACAACCTTTGGGTAGTGCATGATAGCTCCGGTAAAACATGAAGTATAACGTATAGCAACGCACAAGCCCATACTTGACCAAGTTTCTTTCGGAGCCGCCCCGAGAAATGTTAATGAGGCAGATATATTACTAGGTCGCAGAGTGCCTGTCAAATTCTTGTCTGCAGTCGTATGGATTCTTCCAAGTGCAAACTGCACAATTTGCAATGAAGCGAGCACTTCGAGTTGCAGACAGTCTTCAAAATGATTCTGGCAAGAGGCGCAGAAGGATGCCGAACTATTAACGACAAGTGAAGGTACAAAGATATTTAGATTGATGCCTGGGTTTATTTTACGGCATCTGCTTCAAGCAAGTAGTACCCACAGTGCCAGATGGACGGAGGTAGGCCATTGACTCCACTACATTCTGCAAGTTTTTTTTTTTTTTTTTTTTTTTTTAAAGGGCATACTGGTTTCAACGCTTTCATCTGTATTACATGACTATGATGGGCCACATTGAAGTGTTTGTAGTTTGTACTGCCACACATCACTTCATCTACCGAGTGTTCGCACGGGACAGCTGTTTACTCGTCTCAACGAGCATCCCACACATCAAAATGGACAGGGTAGAGGGCCCGACACATCGACAGTCGTCAAAGGTAAACTACAGCAACATAGGCGCGACACGCATGCCAAAAGGGATCAGCCCCGCACGGCCCGTCGTTCAACCGACCACCTCCGAGTCAAAAGCAGAGTTGGACTTGGCCAGCCGATCCACGATTAAGGTAGTGGCGTCCATGAACCTGTTGACGCAGTTCAGGATGCAGCTCTCGGTCTTTGCGTCCATTTTGGCGCTCGGCTTGTCCACGCAGATGTCCCAGCACTTTTCGGTGAGCTCATGCACGAGGTGCTGGTAGCGCTGCTTGGCCGTCTCGCCTTCGATGAAGCTCTTAAGCTCCTCTTCTCCGCTCATAGCGGCTGTCGGCGCAGAGCTGAGGACGACCCAAGTTGCCGCAAATAACTTTCGGGCTCGCTTTACGCGCTATTCGTGTTGAGGAAGCCTCGTAAAGGGAGCACGCCGGCAACGCCGGTAAGGTTTTTATGCTTTCCACGTGAGAAATGGCGGCCGCCATTGTTGCATCATAGAGATACGAAGACTGTTCTCAAATCCACGGATCGCAGCTACCATAATGTTGCACCTTGTTTGTGTGTCCACAATCAAACATAACTCTAAAAACCAGTGATAACAACCAACCTCCTTGATAAAAACAAATAATTGGAAAGGCACCAACGGCAGGAAGAGAGTGCTTAATTAAGCAGAAAAATATATAAAAATAATATTCGTTGATTTTTTACTGCAGCCACTATGATCACGTGACAAATGTTGTATCCGCCGGAACAACCAGAACAACCGGGAAATAGGTGGACGTCCGGTTCGTTTTTTAATGTTTGATTTTCCTGAGATGCGCGGCTGCTGCGCTAGCTGCTCCTCAGGGCAACTGCAACAACGTTTGAAATGTTTGCTTATGTATGAGTTCGCTGGACGTTCCTAACCCCGTGTTCCACGTTGTACGACCCCCCCGGCTTCCGCTTCGCGCCGTCGGCGAGCGCCTTGTTGACGTCGGAAACGTCTCGAAAACGGAACAAACTCCGTCGAGATCCAAGCTTCGCCCAGCTGTGTGGACCCGTCCTGAAAAGGCGTCAACTCCGTCGCCTCTCAACGACCCGTATTCGGAACGTTTGCGTCGATCGAACGCTTCGAAAGGGTAACCGACCGGTTTTGTCGTTGGTCGAAACTCCGAGGGAAGCCAAGTGATGAGGCCCGTTTGGATGCGCTGCAAGACCGCGTAAAACGCATGCCGGCGCCGAGCAACTTTTGCGGTTTCGGTTGTGTCTTTCTCGTTTTACTTTGAAGCCGCCCGTCTCCAATGAGATTCAATGCAAAGGAGATATGCGCCGTCGCCTCGCAGCCTTCGTACAAGTTCGAGAAGGAAGGGATACTGTTCATCAAGGAACGCCAGGACGGCCTCTTTCGACGAAGTGACGGTGAGTATATATACTGCGCGCTGTTTCGGTACCTCTAAGTGCTTAGTTTATTTCGTCGATTATATCTCATTCATTAGATAGGCGCGTATGAGCATGCCCTCATCACACTCGCGTGTGGCAGACTTTTCGAATACCTACGCGGTTTTTCTATTCCAACCCCTCGCTCGATCATTTGGCCGTGCTTACGCAAACTGCTATCGAGAGCTGCCTCGAGCAAACCAAATACTTTTTCAGAGAAAAAAAAAAAAAAATATATATATATATATAAATAAAGGACTTTCCTTTGAGATCGGCGGCAGGATGTTTTCAACAGCCAAGTCGGCACGTCCGTTTAGGTTATCAGTGTCTTCTCTGCATTCTTTTCCTTCCTTTATTTTGTAATAGGGTGCTCTTTTTTTTTTTTTTTTTTTTTTTTTTTTAACGTGCATTTCAATGTTGTCTGTGGTTTCAGTTGAAGACATGGTGTGTTTTGTTTCAGTTTACACGGAGCGGTGGTGCAGGCTCCGAGGAAATCTGCTTTTCTATTACAAGAGCAAAGACCAGGTCAGCAACTGCTCCTTATTCCCCTTTGCCTGCAAGTAAAGTCGCAAAAAGTGGCTGAATATTTTATATTCTTTTTTTACACGTGACACGCAGTGGGATTGTACGCATGTTACAGAATGTTTGTACTTGTTAGTTGTAAAAATCACATAAATAAGCAAATGAACAGTTTGCAATGAAACATTTTACGAAGCTGTCTGCAGTTGGTACATTTATCCAACTCAAATTTTGATAGTGGAAGTAACCGGGCACACCCCGCATGACTAAAACAACCCCCTCCCCGAGTACTGCCCAACATGCTCCGATCTGTTGGGTCTGCCTTAGAGTCTTGAAGAAGCTTTCACACTTGTGTTCCATATGGGGCGTCATCTTTAAACAGCTGCATCGTGACACTTGCGGCATTCTTTCATTCTTTAAATGTGACACAACCCAAAAAATTAATTTTTTTATTTTTTTGTTAGGCGATTTATTAAAGCGTCGGGAGACTGCCAATCAGTATTTTGCTAGTGTCACATATATTTTTAATAAAGTAAAAAAATGCAGCTGCTCGAAATTGAAACCGAAACTAGAGTGGGGAGGAAGAAGAAATATAGAGGAGAGAGTTGGCGGAACTGTTTGCAGCTTTTTAGTAGCCACGAAAAACGGATATCATATTTCTTTTTTTAAAAAATATTGTGTGTGTGTCTTCGATGACCCATGACATCGGTTATATTTGGTGGTTGTGTCTAAACCATAGAAAACTGCACGTGACCACGGAGAAGAGAGTGAGCTCGACTCAAACCAGCCAGTTCTTGATCGGCGGTTTTCGGATGGAAACGGAACGAATTTCGAGCCGCAAATCATGTTCTGGGTAGTGGGCTCTCATGTGTCACGTACAAATGAAAACCTTGGCAAGCATAAATACCCTGTCAGTGACCTTTTAAGTGATGTAAAATGCAAAAAAAACTCCTCAAAGTAGAACATCAGTTATCGGGTGGCACAGTTGGTATACTACTAAATGGAGCTACATTGAGTGGAGTCGCGCTAAGTTAAGATTTGTTTCAAATCTACGCCTACGCAACCTAGCCCATCAGAATATGTGTAACTGCATTAATTTACCCGTGTTTCTGGAGAAATAAGAGTAATTCCCCCCTTTCAGTGCTCGGACCCATTTGGAGTGATTGTTCTGGAGCAGTACACGGTGAAGGATGGACCCATCACGGGGGCCCTCTATTGTTTCTCTCTGGGTGAGTTCTGTCGCAACAATGGACCTCCCATCGAGAGGCGACACGTGTCCTTGTTCCCTCCACTAGTGGTGTGTATGTCTGTATTGCGTCGAATGGAATATCAGGAAGGGCTCTCTTGTAAGCTCTTTTAGTTTACTGCAAGACCAGAGACATTATACTAGCATATAAACCTGGACATTCTTTCTGCCGCTATGTATCCCGCCTGTATCAGCCATCTAGGCTATCGCCACATCTTCTTTGTCTTGGTCATTCTTCTAAATTACGGGAAATTTTTTCGTCAATAACCTCTTATCAAATGTTTACACTTCTACATTACAATTGGCAATAAAAGACTAGACTGCACTACCTGGTCACATTGTTTTTATAAATATCACAAATATATAGGGTGTCCCAAATAACTTGCAGCAAACTTAAGAACAAAACAAAAACGAAGTGCTGTTTGTAGGCACGTAGCCAGGATTTTGTTTCGGGGGGGGGGGGGGGGGGCACCCATGACAAAATGCTGTATGAGGGGGAGGGGAGAGAGGAGGCCCCAGCAAAATGGAAGATTTCAGGGGGGGGGGGGGGGGGGGGCCGGGCCTTGTGGCCCCCCCCCCCCCCCCTGGATACGTGCCTGGCTGTTTGGCACTGAAGCTAACTAGTATGTTGTTAGCAAGCGTCTTGGGAAATTGCACATATTTCTTGTAGTGCACCTAGTTATTTAATTAATCAAGTCTAATTAGCAAACTTTTTAATTATTAGTTCAGATTGCATTGAGAATCACTCTTATGGTGTTTGCTGCATGATATGCTTTGCATGCTTCTCTTAATTAGTCTAAAAAGAAAGCCTGCAAAATATAAAAAAAAGATTACGTGACAACATTGCACGTTGCGCATGCAGCACTCTTAGACGTGCTCTGTACGGGCGCTTTGCCACATGATCTTCTTTATATTTCATGGCTTTTCCTTTCAGGCTAATTAGAAGAAGCGTGCAAAGTGTATCAAGTAGCAAACGCCTTAATTGACTGCTTCTCAGTTCGCCCAAAACTCTCCAATTCACACCTCGGCTCTGAAACAAATAATTAAAAGGTTAACTGATTAGCCTTCATTAATTAAATTACTAGGTGCACTAAAAAAAAATGTATGCTCTTTCTCAAGACGCTTGCTAACAACATACAGTTGATATCAACGCTGCAGTGAGCTTTCTTTTTTTAATTTTCTTTTAAGGTTTTGGGGCAAGTTACCTGGGACACCCTGTCTTTGCAGCAGCTACTACCCTCTTCATCTCTAACCTATAAATTAAATTACAGTGTTTTAGTATATTGTTAATGTTATGTTGATTGTTTTTTTAAATATATGTACAAATGGAAAGTGAAAGTTGGCCGAGTTCTGTCTTCACCATGTGTTTAACAAACTCGGCTGACATTAGACAATAATCATAGTCACGGTGAGTTGACTAATTAACTGAAATCTTTAACTTTTGGTTTTATAGGTCATATTGGAATTGCAGTACTGACGGCAATTACTATTGGAGGCCAGGCCAATTTAAAATATTTGCAAAAAGTTTAGTTTTTTTTAGATAATCCATCAACTAAATTTTTGCATTTTATTGCCCGTTTTAAAAATTGCGTGCAAATAGAGCACATCAAGCCCTGCCCAAAATAACGCTTTGGAGAGTGACGCCGTTGTTCGTATCATGTCGCTATCTCGGCAGCATGCCTTTGGTCGGTGCGCGGCTGACGCGAGTGACGATGGGGCCTGAATGACTACATCACTCTTCCAGGCGTCATTGTGGGCAGGGCTTGATGAGCTGCTTTTACGCACACTTCTCTTTTTGTTCCCAATAAAGCACCGCTTTCTTAAATACCTCTATAAATTATGTTCGCCACAGAACACAAAATAAAAAGAAAACGCGGCAAATCAGCCGCTTCCAGCGTCCGGAATTGCGCCTACGCAGGCTGTCACAGCCCACTGACTAGAAACTCCACAGCTCAGCACAGTCGGGCAACACTGACTTACACTCAAAACCAGGGACGCGCGCTGTAAATCGCTTCGTTCGAGACTGCTGCTGGAAAGGTCTATAGAACTGTATTGGGCACACGAGTCAAATCACGATAGGAAGCGCTCGTTTCTTTCTAATTACACAAGATCACTGTATTCGTTGCATCATTTACTACGAATACAGGGTGTTTCCAGAAACGTGGGAAAAATCGCTCCTGCGAAATCTACGCATTACGCAGAAAAAAAGGCTGATGTCGTATTGGTTTGTGTCAAAGGGCCCATTAAGAAAAATTGTTAGCTTTCAATATAATTGGGCAATTCATTAAATTTGAGTAAGTAAATTGTTAATTATTCATATTAAAGGGATGGTTTCAATTAAAATCCCGCTAATCATTGAAAACAACTAAACACACCCACATCACAATGATATGAGGCATGCGCAGCATTTTAGGACATTTCGAGTTTTTGACGCATTTCTTGGTTTCTGTTTCTTATCAAAGCGCATCATTGCATCAGCCATGCTGCCCCCTTTCTAAAACAGAACGTGTGTGCACCGCCACGAATCGCATATAAAGGTCCGTGTTCACATTGGCACCGACGTCAGAAAAGCAAACCTCATGTTACAGTCTGGAGGCTTTCTTATCTAGCCTCTTCTGTGTGCAATGCGTGGCGACGCAAGCACATTGCGCGTTTCAGACATGGGAGGCCGGGACTGTTCGCGTGAAGATGCACTCCGTTAAGAAACGGAAACCCAGAAACGCGTCCCAATTGAGCATTTGTTTGGCACGCCGTAAAAGGCTGCGCGTGCCTTGCATCATTGTAACGTGGGTGTATTTTGTTGTTTTCGATCATGCCGAGCAGGATTCTAATTGAAACTATCTCTTTAACATCAATCATTAACAATTTAATTACTTAAAATTAATTAATTATCCAATTATATTGAAAGCTAATAATTTTCCTTGACGGGTCCTTTGAGACAGACCTCTATGGCAACAACCCTTTTTCTGTGCGGTGTGTAGATTTTGCAGGAGCGATTTTTCCCCTGTTTCTGGAAACACCCTGTATATGAGCTCGAGGCGATGTGAACGAGATTTGATATTCTTGTCTACGAAATGCTTCGGTGGAATAATCGAAAGCCCCGCTCGACGTCGGCTATTTATGTTCACATTCAGAGACAAATTTTGCAAGTTTCTCAGTTTGCCTTCTGCTTACCGTTACCGAGACATTAACTCTTTGTAAACACGTAGAAGAAACGAAGGAATGAAAGTGACTTCATCCTGCAACTCGTTTGTGTGCTCTTTCATGCAAAGGAGGTTCCAAAGAAAGCCAGACGCCCGTGCCAGTAAACTTGACAACCTGTCCCAAAAAGTTTCACACCTGTACAGTCAGCAGAGAAAGTCCGGCATTTTCTGTGATGGAAAAGTTTGAGGACTCCCGGCCGAAAGTACCGTCAGTCTCGCCAAACTCTAGCCTCAGTTTCTGACGCGTAATTAAACGCCTCCGATTTCCAACGCGGAGCACGTTGTACAGCCAATTTCCACGAAACGAGCAAAAAAATTTCAAAAAAGCGTTGCGAAAAAAAAAAAAAAAAAAAAAAAAAAAAAACGTTTTGCTTTTTTGCTGCCAAATAGGGTGGGTGAGACGAGTCACTGAATGTTCCCTGAGTACCGAATTTCATTCAGTCTGCTTATTGGAAATCAATCCCGGAGAATCCAGTTCCGAGTGGCTGGTTTAGCCTGTGGCGGAAGTTACCAGCTGTCCATTTTGTGGATCGGCCCAAAACAAAGTTTATAAAATGTTTCCGCGTGGCTACGGCGGGTACGCACGGGTGAGAGCTATTGGCTTCGATGAGTTAGGACTGAACGGAAGTTGCAATGATTTTCCCTACATTTTTTTTTAATATAAAGTGGCCACTAATCTGTTTCGCCAAAGAAGATCGCCAACTCGTTTGCTCGTTCCGGTTACGCTGGTGCTACGTTTCAAACTCTATGCCTCAGACGCTAAGCCTTACACTCGACTTCAATGTGTTTCAAGGTGAGAGAGAGAATCGATACAGCGAAGAGCAAGTCACGCCCTGCTTGGAACAAGGGAAAGAACTTTAATAAAAACAAACCAGTGTTGCCACAGACCAGGAAAGGGGATTGAAGAGTTTGCACGAGAACAAACGCTACACTGTACGCGCTTCACTTCGACTGCGTAGAGCAGTGCCATATTGTGGATGGGTCGGAGCGTGACTGCTGCGCTGCGACTCGGTTCTAAAACGAAGCTCGGGAGTTTCGGTACTCCGGGAACATTCAGTGACACTAAGTGAGATGTCCCCCGCCGAGTTTAAAAGATTTTATCCACTCTATACATCTGAAACTTCGGAGGGCATTGCAGTCTTTGTTCTCGGATCTGTCGTTCGACGAGGTTTATGGACGAGCGTCTTTCGAAAAGCGGTTCTCCCCCATTGCCCGTACACGAGCAGGTATGGGTGGACGGCGTTCGTAGTGCCGCGAGTGGCAGCGCCTCTGCGGATGACGAAGGAAAGTTGCTTTTGAACGACTAGCTTTTTAGGGGCGAAGCTCCTTAGGGGCTAGCCATGTCCGTATGTCCGTCCGCCATCGGGTGCACATGCTCCTGCTGTGCACCCGACGGCCACGTGACCACGTGCTCGTGACCACATGCTCGTGTAGGGAAAAAAAAAAAAAAAACCGCATCCCCACGTGGTGAATGATGTTGATTGAAGCGAAGCTCTGGTGGTGCTTGTCTGCGAAGACGGTGAGCCGCAGCATGCCGAGCCTTTCGTTCGTTTTCATCCATGTCAGAAAAAGAATGTGTGATATGGAACGTGGTTATATATGCATTTGAGCAATTGACCGCAGCGTGACACGGATGAAAACAAACAAAAGGCTCAGCATGCTGCGGCTCAGCGTCTATGCAGACAAGCACCACCAGAGCTTCGCCCCAATCAACATCATTCACCACGTGGAGATGCGGTTGTTTTTTTTCGCAGTCTATACACCTTTCCAAAAAACACTCGACCCCAGGGACCACAAACCGTTTTCGAGCCCAGTCACTGAGTTTGAGGCTAGACTCTCACCGGCGTCCCTCCTAACCCTAACCGAGTGGACTGTGATTTCAATAGGCGCAGCCTGCGTAGGCGCAGTTTCAAACGCCGCTGGTGGCTAAATTCTCGCTTTCTCCCGCAATATTTTGTGTTTCATTGTACATGTATCTTCCCGAGGGCATTGAGAAAGCTGTGTCACACTAAAAAAAAACTAAAAAAAACTGCAAACTGTTTTTGTTGGGTACGCGCGCGACAGAACGAGTGCGACTGGAATGTATAGTTCTAGTTATTTGTTTTTTTCTTACGATCAGTTTTGACGACGCCGCGGGATTCGCCTCATGTGAAGCGACAAAGCGCTTTGCTGTCAAAAATAAATTGCAACAGAAGAGGGCCGAAAGGCATGCATTTTTCACGCTCACAAATAACGTGTTTACCGATGGACAGGACACGGACATACAATTGAGGAAGTGGTAACATTAGATCAATATATCGTACATACCACACGATGCAGCGTTATCCGAAAAGAATTTATTTGAGAAAGATCTCAAATAACACAGTCACAGTCGACGACAGTCACATCTTGACGATCGGACGGAATCAGAGATGACTTCGTTTGGGGCACGTTTCGGGGAGAGCTTCCTTTTTTTCACAACCGCACCAAGGCAAAGAAACAAACGCGACTGACCCGTTTCTCACCCCAACCCGGGCAACTATTTTTGGAGATGACTGAGGATTCTACGCGGATTATCTCTGGGAGGGGGGAGAACAATGTTCGCAAAATCGCGTCGAGGGTCGTTCGACGTCCTTCACCTGCTTCGTTTCCCGTGAATGTCGAGCAGAAAAGCTGGAATGACAGGCACTTACCAGCCTTATTTCTCACAATGGAAGATAACACAAGAAGGGTAGGCAGCACGCATAAAAAAAATGTAGTGGAAACTTTCAAGAGAGCGAGAAAACGTCGAATGCAAAACGGCTAAAATGCATGTAGAGAACCGCGCTGAGCGGGTCTTCACAGTCCCAGAGGGTGGCAGAAAACTTCTAGCTGATAGAGGGCGCGAGAGCCGCACCAGCCGCATCAGCATCAGCAACATGGCGGCGGCCTAGGAGCGTTTTTTGGAAAGGTGTATACATTTACAATGAAAACTGCGACAGTGTCACTTTGTTCCGAGGGAAATGTGCATTTAACGTTCCGCCAGTTTCGTCGCTTCTGTACACGTGCCGGGCCAATGGTGTAGCGGGCGCTGCGGGCTGGGCATGCCGCGAAATTGCACCAGGCATTCTGGGAAACTTGTTGGCCAACTTGTATCTAGTTGCATTGATTCGGGGCTCTCTTGCGGGTGACGCCTCCTTGCTCCTGTCGGCCAGTCCGATTGGCGGCTGGAAACGCACTGCACCGCGCGGGACGGGTAGGATGGCAGTGCGTCTGGTCCTTCCCTGGAAGCGTAGTCCGACGGGTCTTCTTTTCCCGGTGGCCAGCGTTTGTCGGCGAGGACTTGCAGCTGGCGGCAGCCTGTGCCGGGGAGCGGGAGGCCTGGCTGGGGGCCCTGCGTGGGGCCAGCTATGAGTGCGTGCGCCTGCAGCTGCTCCTGCTGCGCTCCAGGCTGCGCTCCCGCCAGAGGGAGTCCGACCCTGGCCTGTACAGGGGCCCCCAGAGGGAGGCGGGAGACTCCGGTGGGACTTCATTTCTCTTTCTCGCTTGTTGTGCCTGGGGGCCTCACGCAAAAGGCTTCATGTAAGGGGGCAAGTAAGATTGCCGAGTAGCCAATGCGTGACAGTAGGAAAATACGTAGGGACGACTGAACATGCTGGAAGGCGATTGTGAATGTTAACGACGCAAAGGATGGATCCGTACACTGTAGCTACGAGGAATCGAGGTGCAAACGAAACAGGATCGAAATGACCCGTTTTTTAAGGTCAACCAAACAGAAAGAGAGTCGCTCAAAATATTGTTGTTAGTCGTTTAACTCTTACCAGTGCCGTTTCATACTCAAAATGTTTCTTGACACTTTCGTTTTACAGCGATGTTTATGGCTGGGGTTCCGTGGATTTTTTTTGTGCGTGACCAAAAACTACGCTCGCAGTGCACCCACGCGCCGCACTCACGTGCCGCACGTGCCAGCATCTGCAGCAGTAACTGTTCTAAAGCAAAAGCCTAAAAGAAATGGCATCTTACACGCATGTTAGTCAACGCTTTATTTTGCTTATTTGCTTGAAATCTTTTATATGGGGAAGGCGTACACGTGCGGTGCGTAAAACACCATTCCTTGCATTCTCCTTGAAGGCGGCGGGCAGCATGTGTGTGTGTACCTTTCATCACAACCACCAACCAAGACAATAAATGTGTTCGTACCTCTGTTAAAAATTCTGTGTCAAGTCTCTGTCGTTTTCTAAACAGCTTCGCTGGTCATCCACCTTTACAGAGTGGAACGGCTCCCAAATTTTTTTCATTGTTTTCGTTTTTGGAGGGATCAATATTTTTCGTAATGCTTTTATTTGTGGAGGGGCCTCTTTTGTTATGCTTTACCGTAATTATTTGGTGGGTCGATCGATCGTTGCCTTCCGTCTTGCCTCGCACCTCTTTCGCGCAGGCCACCCGGTTGGCACTCGCTCAGATCGAAGAGACTGGCGTATCGCGGGAGTACCGCACCAGCAATTGTACAAAACACCGACGTCTGTATTTTGTTGTTTTCTTTTTCAGGTAAAAAAGACCCACTGCAAAATGAGCCCTTCCTGGAGCTTGGCTTAGGTACGTTAGAAATTTAACAAAACAATTAATACAGTCTAATTTCGTTATAACAGACCTTGATTTTGACCAAGATTTTGGTCTCTTGTAAAGGAGTATGTTGCATGCAGATAAGGAGCTGAGTCAATGGTATGTAGAGGAAAACCAACCAAACTTTACGAATCGGTATGCTATATTCTCATGTCTGTTGTAACCAGGTTTGTTGTAATGAGCTTGGACTGTATACGACCCAGGTTACTTCCAAAAATGGCTGATGCCAATGTGCATGTACGCCGATACATATCAAATGGTTTCTGGCGCAGTTTGCAACATTGTTGGACTGTCGTTGAGCGTAGAGATAAACCCCAGGACACTTTCAAGATGAAAAGTGAGCTTTTCCTTAGGCAGCAGTTACATTGTCCCCGCCCATTACCAAAGCCTCTCCGAGAAACTCGGCGACGCCGAAAGTCAGTGTCGTCGGGGAGGGGACGTCGTCCTTTTTGCAATGACACTGCATACAAATGATGGGTGCAGTAAATGCGCCAGGCAAAGATACATTCCGGGTGGAGATGTAGCCTAGTTGGAGACGCCATTTTATACGTCCAATTAGCGGGGTAGTGACGACCTGAGCTCTTATCTCTGGCATGAATTGCCGTTCCAGGTGGCTCCAATTAGTAATGCTTGGTTTGCTTTCAGTCATGCAATGAAAACAAACCAGAGATTTGCTGCTTGCAGTTTTGCTTTTCTTTTATAACGACGGTTTATTCAACTTGGAAAATGCAAATTAAAGTTTTGGGTCTGCAGGAGCGCAATTTTGCTCGTGTGCAGGACCTGGCATCCAGCAGTTATGTAGTTGTCAGTTGGACTAAAGCAAAGAAACATATATAGTTCTAAGAAAAAGCTAATGGTTGCTACGGGCAACTGTTTCTAAATATAAGCTGAGACACCGCATCTTTAATTAAGTTTGACAATCCTTAGCGAATCCAAACTAAATAGTTCTTCCGGTAGTAGTATGTACGCAGTGGCATGTAGCTCTAACAAACCCATTTTCCATTATTTGTGAAACTTTTTTGGTAATAGAGAATCCTTCGTTTGTTCCGGGTTTTTTTTCCTTACTTGCAAGGGCGATCTTAATAAATTGTTGAAAACATTTCCGGCAGCTCGTCAATCATACCCGACTAAATTGTGGCATGTGGAACACATCTTTAGGACAATAAATATTGGGCAATCGTTTAAAGGGTCGGTGAAACAATTTTTATACTTTGCATAAATATCACTTAGAATGACAATGTCACATATTCATTCTAAGTTTAAAGCCTATGAAACAGTCGTTAGTTTTTCTCCTGGTAGAATAGTAGTTGCAAAAAAAAACGAAAAAAAAAACAAAAAAAAAAAACATGAGCAGCGTATTTTTCCTCAACTCGCAGCCAGAACATGTGGCCACATGATCTGGAGCCGATTATATGCCGCCAGTGTCTACCATAGCCACGTGCTGGGGTTGGCAAAGCACAGGACACGTGCCGAGTTTAAGACATTTTTGGGGTTTGGCTGTTGTCATTGGAGCGATTGGACACGGGCCATTACCCGAATGCTTGTCGAGCTCTTGATTATTGCGATCCCGAAGGAAATGCTCATGCAATGCTCCGGTCCAATCCATGAGCCGCATTCAAATGTCATCACCGGGGGACGTTGCAACATACAAACTACGTCGTCAAGTTTTGCGCAGGAGATTGAAAGAAGATGCTCGCTCTTATTCTTGGAATTACGCCACAACAAAGAGGTTTCATGGTCAGTGGCATTGCCTTCAAGTATACTTGTGTCCCACCAGTGCCAGTAAAATCGAGTAAGGTGAAAAAACATTCCAAGTGAATATCGCTGCACCACCTCTTTAAGTACAGAGACTTCCGATGTGGGCTCCGTTTGTCACCGGCTGTTAGGAGTAAGGCGGAATGGCACGGGGTCACGTGACACCGTTTCAATCGGTGAGCCTCTGGTCGTAACACTGTTGAGTCTCGCACTCAAGTATTCAGCAAAATAGCCTTCTGTAAAAGTTCTATGTTACTGTAATAATGTTTTGCTGCACCACAGTACCAGTATAACCCTTAGGTAGATGAGATGTTTGATGACCTCATTTTGTCTTTTAAGGCCCGTCCTGACATTGCGCTTGCTTAGGACCAAGCTCTCGCGATCTCTTATGTCGGGGGAAGACTGGCACCATCTACGAGGCAATCCTACAGCTGCATTTCACTAGAGCTAAGGTTTTGCGCTATTTATGAGGTGTACTAAAATGTTAAGGTGGGCAAGTTGGAGAAGCACAATGAGCAATGAATAGCGCAAAGGACACGCACGATTGAGAACACAAAGACGGGACGTGCACTTGTCCCATCTCTATGTTCTTGTCTGCGCTTATCTGTCATGCCATTCATTCTTCATTATGAAATGTATGTACACGATCCATGAGAAATGCTAATTTATACCGTTACCGCAAGTTTTTCCAGCCAAAAAAGAAAGAAGTGACGGGGCACGCTAAAAATAGGAAATATATGGAAAATGCGAGCGTCTCAATGCCAGCCGACAGATGGCGCCAGTTGAGGTTTCGAAACGCACACTTGCGACAAGTTGCAAGTGCCTGCCCACATCTCGTCCCACGTCGCAACACTCCTTGCAGCGTGCGACAATCTGCGCTGCGACGCGGACGGTCAGCCGCCGAACCCGCTGGTGGTGGTGATGACGGGGCGCCCGGCCCAGGGCCTCTGGACCAAGTTTTCCCAGACGGAGATCGTCGAGGTGAGCAAATTCCGTCCACGCGGAGGGTTCTCGGAATGGGTCTTGCGTAAAGGAACCCTGTGGTCGCTGGCAGAGTGAGAATGGCCAGTCTTTGGAGCGCCTCCTGCAGGCGTTCAACAAGATGTTGAAGCGCCTGACTCGGGACAACTGGAGCTACTCCCTGCCGTTGTCACATTGTCAGTGACTGTAGATAACTGGCGTCCTCAATATACGTCTCTCCCGCGTTACTATAAAAAAGAAAAAACTTTTTTTCTTGAAAGTAAACATTTGACGGATATCTGCCTGGTTGGGTAAGAACAATTAGAAGAGGGGGAAGGAATGCCAACCAAAAATAAAAAGGAGCCCAACGTTTCGAAACCTGCTTGGTTTCTTCTTCAGGGGCGACTGTGTGCGCGAGGAGCAAATGGTTTTCTTTTACGGCGGTGGACGTGGTCGATCATGAGCGCAGCGCGGTTGCGGAACACAGTGACTCTAATGACAACCGCATTGACTTCGACAACACACGTATCCTCGACATTGAGACCAATTCTCGGCAGAGGCTCTTCGTCGAGTCATGGCACATCCAAGCCACACCGCAAAACATCAATCGATCGCTTGGCGCTTTACCATCCGCCTACGTCAGCGGGCTCAGCCACATTACGATCGCGAAAACATCACGTCCACCGCCGTAAAAGAAAACCACTTGCTCCTCGCGCACACAGTCGCCCCTGAAGAAGAAACCAAGCAGGTTTCGAAATGTTGGGCTCCTTTTTATTTTTGGTTGGCGTTCCTTCTTCCTCTTCTAACTTTTTTTCTGGTTGTTTGTATACAGAGACAGCTCGTTAATATGGACACCTCTGTTCCCCCCCAAAATCGTCCATAATGCGAGTTGTCCTTAAAAATAACGAGACAAAAATGGACATATTTTTCCAGTTTGTTCCCAGAAATGGTGTCCATATATGGTATTCATGGTAACGGGGTCCATATCAACGAGACGTGACTGCATTCGGGAAATCGGTCCGATTTGGAATGTGGAGAATCGCGTCCGTGCCGTCGGGGGGCAACTTGACTGTTGCGGCACATTTTTCGTTGCTTCATATCTCTTTTTTGCCTAACATTTGTGCGTTGTACCTTTGTCACATTTTCCGGCGGATAAGTGGCAGAATTCTTTTTTCCCCAAATTTCTGTCAGTGTGTCGTATACGCTGGCGCATTTTATATAAGTAGAGACCTTAGCTGCACAAGACGGAGACGGTGCCGGCATTTTTGACTAAGGAGGAACTTCTTTTCTGGAAGTCCGAAGCGCGGCGGCACAGCAGCTGGTCCACAGCTGCAGCCGACTCTGCCGACCATGCAAAGAAGTCAGACTCGTATGTCGCCTAGCATCGTAGCCACAAAAATACAGCATTTTGCTCTTGGATATTATTCGTGCAGTCGGGCAGTACCACTTTTTGATAGGTACCCTCCCCCCCCCTCCCAATAATGCTCTCTGGGTGATGTAGGTATTGTATGAGCATAGAGCATAAAATGAGGTATGTGTGTGCAGAGGTGCAGCAACCCCTGCTTCCTCACCACGGTGGGGTTCCTGAAGAAGCAGGCGTGTGCCACCACCGAGGTGAAGCTCTGCATCTACGACGTTCGGGAGAGGCTCACCGCCACGGTGAGTCACCCCGTGATAATTCTCCGATTGTGCCTGTAGCAAACATTGTTTCTTTTGTACGACGTGCAAGCAGTGTAATCGTGACTTTAATGCCGTTTTAACCGTGCTGTTTCGTCGTGCGCTGACCCGTTGTGACGCCCCAATAACGGAGGACGGTGCAGTGATCGCTTGAGTTGCGAGCTCTTGAGCAATGGTAGAGGGCAGAAAGTGAAGGCGTTGCTTACTTGCCACCTCGAAACGAAACATTGCACTGGGATGACGGCGGAATTTCTTGGCACGGCAGGGAAACAAAACCCGTTACGAACAAAGAACGGACAAGGTGCCCCGCCGGCGTCGGCCAGTGGGACACTTTGTCCGTTCGTGACTGTGCAGTCAAAGTTACGGGTGCGCAGGCACTCGGGTACCTTGAGCATCGATCGAAGCTGTACGTTCACTCTTCACTTCTGAAATGCCACAGACGGTTGTCCCCTTGTGAAGCGCGCATCTGCCAGCGAGCCGACGCTCGACGGCGACCACAGTTTTTCACTTTGGAAGCTGGCATACTGCCGAATAGCGGAAACCCGGGGTATCTTTCGCTAGCTTCAGATTGGTTTCACTTGTCGTGAGCCGAGGCCATTTTGTTCCTATGGGGAGCACAATTTCGTCTGCTTGCGCAGGGGTTGTACTGACGTTAGAACGCCGAGCTTCGATTGGTTTTGATGGAGGGATAGCGGGTGGACCTCAACGCTAGCTACCCACTATCCTCCTAATCGGAGTCAATCGGAGCTCGGTGTTCTGACATCAGCGCAACCCCTGCTCAGGATGCCGGCAAACTTGTGCTTCGCATTGCTTTGGGATATATGGTACATTTAAGAAACTTCTGTCGTATAGTAGCAATTAAATTGTGTACGTCGTCCATAAATATTCGTTGCCTCATATTTTTAGTACCAAATATTTTTTTCGTCAAAACAGCAACAGCTAGCATTAAAAAGAGAATCTGAAAAATTTGTTAGAGTTACATTTCAAAAACATTTGAAAGCATACCCTTCTTATTTTTCAGAAATCACTCCTGGGTGAGGCGGTGTTCACCCTGGGAACATTGGTGCAGATGCCCGGTTGCTTTCTGCGCCTCGCATTGGTGTGAGTGGTACCCGATTTGCGTGCCACATTTGTTTTTGCATCGGGAGGCGACGTGAAGCATAATGGGGTGACGCCTAATGTGACAAGCGGTGATGCGCGGCGAGGTGAGGCGATGCGAGGTGCAGTATGGTAAACTTTCATTAATTCAAAGTCATAAAAACTAGAAAAATTCGAGAAAAGCGGAGTTCTGAGTTAAGCGAGGTACCAAATTTTCATTGCACTGATCATGCATTGTGCACCAGTTGGCTTGATGCTTACGCAATGGTGCCGTGGGGAGAACAAAACGGCAGCAGCAAAATTATTCCATTTCATTTCATTTATCAATCCTTAAGGGACCTCTTTCGAGGGCATTGCATAAAGAGGGGGCAACACAAAAAAATTATACAAAAAAACAAAAACAAAAAAAAAACATAAATATATAACAGCGCACACTCATGCAACGCAACTAGAAAAACCTAAATTGGTGTGGAAAAATACAACATGATGGAGCTTTTGAAAACCACAGGGTCAGTTATTGTAATGAGTGATTCTGGAACACTGTTCCAGTCCACAATTGTGAGTGGGAGAAATGATTTGTTAAAGGCATTACTGGAACCCGATATACGTTGAAAACTGTAGGAGTTATTGAGGCGACGAGACGACCGTGCGGGAGTGCGCAGGAATGAGCTTCGAACAGTGGAATGATAGTGGTGAAGTTTATGGAGTAAGCAAAGCCGTGCAACCTTGCGGCGTACCTCCAGAGTTGATAAATTTAGGCTCGTTTTCATTGGAGAAACACTGTTTTTATAGTCATAGTTTGATAAAATGTAGCGGGTTGCTCGGTTTTGAATTGCTTCAAGTGGGCTATCAAGTAATTTTGGTGCGGATTCCATATTGTAGAAGCATATTGTAATTTTGGTCGAATGAAGGTTTCGTACCGAAGTTTCCTAAGCTTTGGAGGAGCAGCATTCAGGCAACGCCAGATGTAACCAAGGGTCCTTGCTGCGCCTGAAGAAATTGTGTTAATGTGATTAATCCATGTCATATTGGAAGTTAGTACGACACCGAGATATTTATACCTATCGACTTCTTCAATGATCTTGTCGCCCAGCACATACTGGAAGGAGGAAGGGACTCTTTTACGACAAAAGTGGATTAATTTGCATTCAGATTTATTTAGTGGCATCAACCAGTTGTTACACCACTGAAAGACATCATGTAGATACTTTTGGATGAGTTTGCGGTCATTAGGTGAAGTGATCCTGCGATATAGAACACAATCGTCTGCAAAAATATGTATGTGAAAAGAAATAGAATTTGGAAGGTCATTAATAATTATTAGAAAAAAAAAGGCCCAAGAACTGTGCCCTAGGGCACGCCAGACGTGACATTAATTAAATCAGATTCATACCCATTTAAAACTGTGTACGGCATTCGCGACTCATCACCAAACTAAACATCCCTAAAAAAGCATTTGCAAAATAAAAAAACAAAACTAAATAATAAAAAAAAATTAAAGAAAGAAAGAGACTTAGTGCTAAAGATAACTTTAAGCAGGAGGGAAAGAAAAAGCGGCACCAACTGCCAAGCCAAGATTTGGGAAAGAAAAAAAAGTATGATAACAAACATCCTTCAGCATGGCCACGCTTTTGACATATGGCACTTTGTTTTTCTGTCTTGCATATCACACGTGTGCACTAATCCGCAACTTTGTTGTTTCCTTTTCTTTTTTGTGTGTTTGTTTTCTATCACTGTTTCTTTGTCAACCACTGTTTGGGCTACCAATTCATTAATTGCTGTGTCCTGCCTGTTTTTTTTTTTTTTAATTTCTATTGACAAGACAGGTATCCAAGGTATGTCTGGAGAACTTTTCAAGATAAGTGATGAGTAAATGCATTGTGCCTACAGGAATTAATTTTATGACAAGGGAATCTTTCTACTTAGTCTAGTTAATGAGGGGTCTCTTTAATATGACGTTCAGTGACACAAGGCGAGGTACGGTGAGGCAAGATGCCGAATAACCCACAAGGAAGGCGAGAGACTCGAGGTCTGGTAGTGTGAAGTGTAGCGAGGTATTGAGAGGTGAGGTGTGACATGGTAACGCACAATGTGGAAGAGAGGTGGGAGAGGAGTCTAAGAGAGCCGACATTTTGGGTTGTGGCACCCGGGCGTTGCTGCCTGGGAGCGGAGGTGTCCACGCCTGATGGCGAGCGTCGCCGTGTACCGCAGGTCTCCGTCCTATGAAGGCGTGGGCTTCGTCACGGTCACCGCTCGGGAGCTGGAGCCCGAATTTGCGCCCGCTGCCAAGGCCCACGTCGCTGACCACTTCTGGCCCACGGTGAGGGGGGATGCCCGGAGCCTCTCACCAGTCAATTACAATTCCTTTTTCGCTTGTGCACCAAAAAACTTAAAAGGTAACTTCGGTCGAAAATGAAACCAAAATAAATGACTGGTATCACTTTAGTGGCACGAAATATTATGTCGGAGTGAAGCCGCATACTCCACTAAAACTGCGCCTAAAGGTGCAACCAGTTGCTCTAGCGGGCGGCTAGCGGGTTAACTTTTATTCAAGGAACGCTGGCGCAGCACCCTTCTGACGTTATGTCACAGTGGAGCTGCGGTTGATTGCTTGTACAGTTGAACCCGGATATGTCGAATTCTAAGGGGATCGTAAAATAATTCGATATATCGATAACTTGATATACAAAAATATGTTAACTTAAGCTCCAGCTGAAATTTCCGCGCGTCCCTGCTGATACCGAAGGTTGCGACAAATGGGACCTTACCAAATAGAGCCTCTAAGAGCCGCTAAATAGAGTAGAGCTTAGCTAATAAAGATCACAAACACCGCGGCGTTTACGCGACTGTGTTTGCAATCGAGCGCCGGCAAGAAAAGACTAAAGTAATGAAAAGAAAAATGAGAGAACGGAAAAAGCAAGCCGCATAAGAAAGAACTCTCGATCCATAGAATAAAGTTAAGCAAAAAGAAGAAAGAAACCTCACTTAATTCAGGCAGCAAAAAAAGAAAGGCAATAAAAGAAAAAAAAAAAACAACAGGCAAAGCAAAAACGGCGAAAGGAAAAGGGAAACAAAGATAAGGAGTTCAAAGTGCGATTCCTCAACAGTTGTTGCCAACCCACTCAACTTGACGAAGCCATTTTTTTTTTCGGGGGGGGGGGGGGGGGGGGGGGCGCGCCTAAGGAGTTGCGCACCGACAGCGGTGTTTGGGGAAAGAGCGCATGCTACCGTTCGGGCACTGCCGGCCCTCCCTTCGCGCGTGGGTGCCCTTTCCCTTGCTTTTGCCATCCTCCACTTTTTTTTTTTTACAACTGCTTTTTTTGTTACGTATCTCTGTAGTGCGCGTATGCTGGCTTGGCCGTCTGCCAGCCTCGTAAGAGAGTTATTTGCTTGCTGCCGGTGTGAACCGACTGTGGAAGAAGTGACATGCGGCTGTGCTTTCTTTGTTCGCTATATCGAGTGACCCCGCCATGGGAGGCCATGGGAGTTTGATACAGAAAAACAACGCTCCTATACTTTTACATGTGATTTTCACGAGGATGTTTGGACTGTTCGATATAAACAATAATTCGAAATACCCGGGTCTGATATAACCGGGCTCGACTGTACAGCGTGCTGCAGCACCAGGGTGACATCATGTCGCGGCCGTACGGCTGATAATCAGTGTTGCCAACACTCTAACAAATAGTTTCGGGTTTGCTGTAGACGCCTGAAACCAAACTTTGAGCCATTATATTTATAAAACTTCGCACAATATCAGAAAATGAAAAAAAAAAAAAAAAAAAAACTTTCGGCCTTTCCACTCTGGTGAAGAAGGAAGACCACCGAGGCTGCACTATGATCGGAATGAAATAATGGCCGGCCACAAGTCGGCAAGCCAGAGTGAAAAGGCTGGAAAGGTTGCCGCCATCTATGAGCGACGGCGACAACCAGATAACTGGCAAGCCTGTTGTCTGGTTGCCTTCGTTGCTCATAGATGGCGGTAGCTGTCCAGAGTTCTGTGTCATCAGGTCATTTAAGGATGGACACGATCCTGGGGAAACTAGCCCTCAACAGCTTCACTCTAAAAATATTGAGTGGAGTTGCCCTTTAAATCAAAATAAGCCCTAACATTAAGGAGGCATTGCGGAGCAATCGAGAACGCATCTCGCTTGCGTGACAGTTTTTCTAGTTTGCTATGGCGCCGTTGCGCCGACCCTTCATAGATAGCGAGGCCGTAGCACCGGGTTTCGTTCATTGCCTATCAGGGACCAACGCAAGGCGGGGATTGCGCGCGATCACCGCATTGACGCTCGCCCCGACCAACAAAATGCGAGTCCCAGCCGAATGCCGATGCGCCACACCCGGCATGCATTGACCCGGCACTTGCACCCCACCCCCTGGGTTTGCAGGCAGAGCGCCCACGCACATACTCATTGCCGGCCACACTGCCCCGGCGCACGCCCACGCCCCTGCACGCCCAGCTGCGGGTGGCCTTCGACGGGCTCTGCTCCCGCACCTACCGCTTCCACACGGGCCTCGGCGCCGAGCTCCGCGTCAGCGAGATCATGGCCGAGAGCAAGCTGTCCTTCTCCTTTCCCCAGCTTCTTCTGTGAGTCTAACCCTCCTCCTCGTTTGCATGTCGAGAGGATGCGAAATCGCAATGGACCCTGAGACTAGGGAGAAAAAGGGATGTCACAACGCAGAAATCAAAAACGGAAAAAATGGGCAATGCAAAAACACAATGCAAATATAAAAAGAAAAAAAAAAAAAAAACTTGATGCGGAAATCTTGTTGTGTTGCCTTTTTCCTGTAGTGTTTTGGGATTTTTAGTCTTATTACGTTGGACCATCACCAGCTCGTTGGAACCCCAACTATTTGTGGAATCATTTTCATTTTACTTTGACTAACTGGTGCTCCCGTTTCCTCCGTCAAAGAGCGGATAAGTCTACCTTTTGTTGAGACGGGTCCAACCTGTACGCTTTTGTTTTGGTTTTGTTTCAGGCCGTTTTCATTTTGAAACCAATTGTGTCTTTCGAATGCGCGAGTTTTTCGGATGCTGTTGTCGCTGTCGTCTGCTACCCAAGAGGTGGTTACTGGATTGCTGCTAATTTTTTAAAGCTATGTATGTGCGATATTAACGACCTTGTCTGTAACTACTTGAGTTAGCACAAAGTGCGAGCTGGGACCTTAGAGTGTGCATGGGCCAGGGTCTTGACAGGATCTCAAGACTTACTTGCGGATGGCGCAGTGCAGTTAATGCTAATGTTCGTTCGCTGGCTTTTGCCAGTGATTGTGCGTTAAAACTTGCAATCCGGTGAAGGAAGCTAATCTGCTACCGCACGTCGGCGACTGCTTCCACACGTTGGTGCAGCGCATCAACGTCACGTTTGCGCTAACCGCATTGTGCGGCAAACACGTACGCACAAGCAAGGCGATGTAACTTCGTTCAAACAAGTCGTGGACGAGGGTTTCCCTCTGGAGAGGCCACGAAATATGGGACCTGTTGTACAATTTACGAAAGTCGTCCCGTTGCGACTTATACCAAAAGTTTGGTCTTGCAGGAACCTGTGGATCAACGAGGAGAAGCAGCTCATGGAGACCGTAACTCAGCTCGGAGAGGTGAGTGTCCTTTGCAAGGCAAATCGCATCTGGTCCACTATACTCCGTGGTTTTTATCAAGGTCTTTGATTTGTCTGCAATTGGTTGAACGTGCCAATAGATAGATAGAACTGAACTAGAACTCGGATGTCGCGTCAAAATAGTTTGTTTCTGCTAAGTTATTAAATTTTCACTTTTTGTCCTTCTCGTTTTTTTTAATACCGAATGTCTCTACTGGCAGCTCTGAAAGGCTATGCTAGCGGAGGGCACATTCACTGTATGGGCAGTAGGACATGTTCCCACGTTATTGTGAGACATTCAACGGCGTAAAATGAAAGCTGTGGAAGTTCTCTTCGGCACTCGCTTGGCAGCATGAAGCAAAATGTTCCCACTGCTCTGTTTTCTAAACAGCCGGCACGTGCCTGGCACTGGCATTGCACCACTGGAAAGTGCAGGGAAATTCGAATGTTTGTTTTTGCATCGCATTCATTTGCTATCTTCTCAGTAGCCATTTTGAATTTAGAGATAGTAAATAGCTCCCCGAAGAAGTAGGGACTGGGTATTCAGAAACTGTAACTAGATTTAGGGAGCACAAGATATTGGCGGGTACATATTGAAAGGCAACTTGGCTTCATTTTTGTTTTTTAAAAAGCAATGCAGTTCTCTTCAGTACCACATAGAAAGACCACACATCAAATATTATCTCTTAGTTCTGTCTAGGTGTTTCTTAAAGGAGCTGTGCAACGATTTTAACGTTGAAAGAATTGGCATTTTCTGCTTTTGATATTGTTCACTGTGTCACAAATGGCAGAAAACACACCTCCTTTCATCGAAATGTTGCGATTCCACCGCGTAATAGCGAGGCAAAACTTGGAATATTTCCCGAGCGGCGGCCGTGAGAAACAAGCGGCGTGAGGTCACTTGGGTAGTTGTAAGAAAGATAGCAAGTTGTGCGAATCCCTGCTCGATAAAAGGTAACTTTTCTATAAATCTTGTCGTTCCAACATATATAAAAATGCGTCAAAACCCTGGTATCATCGACAAAACTTTTATTATACGGAGTTTTAGTGGCGCCATCTATCCTAGGTCCACAAAACCGCGAATAGCCGCCAGAAGCCGGAGGGGGAGGGGACAGCGCCGGACGGGCAAGGACAGGTATGGCCGGACCCGGATGAGACTTTCCTCCTTTCATCGTATATTTCGCGGGGCGCCCGCCAGCACGTGGTCACGCGGTCGCGAGCGGATGAGTTTTCGCTGCTCGCTGATGGCTCTAAAGAGAGAACTTTTTCGGAACCCCGCGCCTACTCAAGTGACGTCACTGCGCACGTGACCCGGAAGACGATATGTTGAGAGGCGGCAAAAACCTGGATTTTTTCATTTTTTTAGATAAAAACTAGGGTATCCAGGCAAAATCTGTTTTCTGTAGTTCACTTCACAAGTGTCAGGCATCGACTTCCACAATAATTTAAGCAAAGCCCTGAAATTATTGCACAGCTCCTTTAAACGATCCGACAAACTTTGCGACGCGCCAAGTTGCCAAAATCGGCTGACTCAAGCGGGCAAACTGAGGCGCAACCAGCAGCGCGGTCAAGGCTATGGCGTGGGCGTATCCAAGATTGAGCTAGACGTCATTACTATTGCCCTTTTTTGTTTGTTTTTACTTCTCGGGGCAAACGTAACAACGGCTGACGTCAGCAATGTTCCCTCTCGGCGCACAGCGGTGTCCACGGGATTGGCGCAACATGCTCCTTGAGCATGTTTGGCCCGTCCCCGCCGTCTCCCGCATCACGACTGTCGTCTCGCCTCACCGTTTGCGATTATTGTCTCTTGGAGTTTTGTTCGCACTACGGACACTACCATAAAATTCCATAGGAACGCCACCCAAAATGGAGAGATAAATGATAAAAATATGGGGTGGGCTATCTTTGGGGATGTGACATCAAAACTTTATCAAAAATTAGAGATAAACACTGGGCAGCCCCTACAAACCACATGTCACTGGAACTGATGCCATAGATCCCAGAAATTCGCGTTTCATGATGCAATGAACACGCGGGAATTCGCTACAAACTCCTGTGTCACGGGAAAGGATACCGTTGGTTGCGGACACAGCAGGTATGCATCACACTATGCAATATACACGTGGCAACAACTCGCAAATTATGAGAACCAATATTGTGCACGCAGGTCACAGACAAAAACACAGGGGTACCCATTACAAACTTGCTTGTCAGATGTACTGGTACCACAGATTGCGCGGTTGATGCGATTCTCATAATACATTCGTGACGTCCAACAGGAATTCGGGGGTGGGTGATGTTTTGGAAGTTTTATATCATGGATATTTAGCCAGAAAAACGGTATGGGCTATCTCTTGGGGGAGGGCATCCTTACAGGATTTTACGGTATGTGCGTAGACTTATGCCGCAGTTGTGCAGACGTCGTTGAATGTCGTAGACACCAAAACGTGGTGAAGATTGCGGTGCAGACGACACTTGCACCTGGCACATGCCTGTCCCTATGCTGCCCATTGTTGTGTAGAGGATCACATTACATCTCATACTACGTGATTGCCACATTCTTGGTAGCCTGAGGCCAATGCGTCCAGACGGAGCCGAAGTTTCGATTTCTGCTCATGTTTAAAAGCAAAATTTAACAATATGTATCGCCCTTTTCGTGAGTCAAATGATGGAGTGTCTTTTATTAGTGCTTTTTAATGTGAAATCACTCATTATCCCGAAATCTTTGGAATTGAGTTAGTTGCCCTATAAAGTGATCTGCGGTGTCTGCTTTATGTTCTCTGCAAAATTGCGAGGGTGTGGACGAAGACCAAGTCTGCGTTGCCTTTAGTTTGGACAAACGGTTCGAAGTACGTCATTGTTGCGTAGAAGCCACCTTGTGTGCACGTATACCGGAATTACCATATTATCTTATGAAAGCTAAGGCATGCAATGTAAAATTAGAAGACTGAGTGCAGAGAAAACAAAATGTAAATTTATTTCTCCAACATTTCATTAGGAGAGGTCAGTGTACATAAAGATGTGGTGCATCTCGTCACCACTGCTGAGTGGTCACTAAACAGAATCTTGAGATAGTCTTTTTACGGTGCAAACTCGGTCTATGTGCCCTGAGCATCCTAGAAAACCTAACGTTACGATTGTGCGTGCCCTTCATCCCGAATAAAAATGAAATCAGACATTGCGTTACGCCCCTCTCCCGAAATGTTTCAAGAAAAGGCGCATAGCGACGCTTGTAGCGACGCCTAGAAATGTGATCCCAAGATCCCTTTTGTGCTCCTCTAAGGGAGTTTGGCCAGTCGGTCGGCATTCATGGCGGTCTGCATTTGACCCCTCTTTGTGGGAAGGAAAGTGGGTCTCCAGTTCGGGCGTTGGGAGTCGCGTGGTTCAGAGGATGGGCCGCGAACAAAAGCGGAGCTTTGCCGGCGAGTGTGGCTCACTTTTGCTGCCCCCCCTCCCTGTCGGCAGCTGGGGCCGGACTGGCAGGGCCGGCAAATGGTGTCCCTGGAGCGGCACCTGCACCGCATGGGCTCCTACTCGGAGGCCCTGGAGAGCCTGGCCAGGCACCGGGGCAGCCACTTCAAGCCCTCGGCCGCCAAGGGCCAGCGTGCCCTCCAGTTTGCTCCCGTCAACATGCACCTGCAGAGGCTCTGGGTCCACAACACCTCCAGCAGGAAGAGTGGGTCCTTTGGCTATCGCACAGGCTTTCAATCCGCCCATACACACCGGCCGAATTCCGGCCAAGTTTTCGCGTAAGGTTCGAGATGGGAAGGTCCAGAAGAGCGACGGCGCACGCTAACTCTAATTTGGGTCGAGACGTCAGTTTCTTGAGACCCCCGAGACCTTGTTGAGATCTTTAGGCCTTGGTATCTTCCGGGGTGTCAACACCTTAGGTTCTCGAGCCTTCACTGTTTTCTTGAATCTCGAGGCTCTCTACACCTTTCTTCAGACCTCAGTCTTTTGATATCTTATTGTTTCGAAACTAAAATTAGTGCCTTAGTGCAGGGGTCTTCAAACCTTTTGGCTAAGGGGCCGGATCAAGGATCCGTTGCTGTCTCGAGGGCTGGAAAATAAATAAATAAATATAAGTGGGGAAAAACTAAGTAAATTATCCTGGTAAGCATATAAATGCAAAATTAAAAATTAGAGTAAAAAAAAAAAAAGAAAGGTAGATGCATGTTAAATTAATGTTAAATGTTTTTTGTTAAATTAAACAAGAATGTTAATGTTTAATTAAACAAGAAACTTTATGTTAAATAAACAAGAATTCTCCAACCAGAAAACAGTAAAAAGTAGTTGCGACGTTACAGGCTATAGGTCATATGGGACAGCCACAGCTTCAACGTCTTCATCTTTGTAAATGAGAAACATTATTTCCTCTTTTTAAGTAGGCGGTCTTCTGGTCGCGTGAGGTAGGCTTTGCGCTTTCACAGACGGTAAGGCACCCAGGGATCTGTCGGTGCTTCCTGGCGTCTGTTGGATGTGCCAAGACTCCAAGAGAAGCCTTTTTCGGAAATTTGGTTCCGTTTCAATCACGTGCGCGTAAGCGAAATCAATCGGATGGTCACGTGCTTCGCAGTGTTCACCAACTGCGCTGTGCTCACGGTCGAAGTTATACACGTCGTTCTTGTGCTGGTGCATTCTTTTGTGAAAGTTTTTTTGTCTCGCCGATGTAGGTGGCTGGGCACTCTTTGCATGGGATCTTGTATATTAGGCTCTGTGCTCTTTCTCTTGGTAATCGGTCTTTGGGTCTTGGCATTAACTGTCCCAGTGTGGACCCTGGCTTGTGGGCCACTTCAATGCCTTTTCGCAATATGCATGCCAGTGCTTCACTGGTCTCTTTCACTTAAGGGACACTGATGGGAAAGGGACACTGATGAGAAAGGAACCAGTGAAGGGCATGTTCCGACAGGGCAGAAAAGTAATGCGAATGATAGAACTGGATGCTCACAGTATGCAATAGGTATGACACGAGACTCTAAGCAAAATATACTACATGGAAATGCAGTTGAATTTTAACATTCATAGTTACACAGACATGAAGCAGGACCAAGATTGGCGACGCTGGTAGTGACAATGTTTGATGAATAATATGATGAGAGGACACATCAATTTTCTCTCGTTTCTCTTTTTATTTTTTTTTCCCTAGTATTTTTGTTTATGTTGGGGTGCCGTTTCTTTGCTTGCGCATTTATGCCGGTAAAAGCAGGCTTGCTGGAAGCGGGCCACGGGCCAGGCTTCATTGGAGGGACCGCCACCAGCCATGGGCTGGTCAGAAGATGTGGGCCGGGGTTTGCAGGCCCCTGCCCTAGCGTCTCACGACCTTACTGCTTGAGACCCTGAGGCCTCGTGCTGTAAAAACTTTTTGTCTGGTGATGCGGAGTTTATTCTTCGTACTATTGCAACGAAACCTGTCTGGCTTACACACCCGTGGAGTACCGTGTACCCGGCCGTCCGACTTTAGGAGGATGCCGAGTTCGAGAAGTCCCGTTTGTAGGACAAGTTCTACGCCAGTGCTCAGTAAGCTTGTTCGACTTGAAGGGCTTCAATAGCTCTAAGGGAGTTTTGTGTTCATAAGTCTGTGGCTGTAACGCGTGGTGGCTGTATCCCACATAGTAATGACCAGGTTTTAGTGCAAACAAACTCTTCCTTGCTCATAAATCAATAGAGGAAAAGCAAGCCAATTGTACTGGGGGCACCAAGTGCATTGCGGGAGGTCAGACGAAGAGAATGGAGATGCAGAAGCGACGACACAGTCGTCCATTAAATGACTCGCCGTTGGTTGCACCGAGCTTGATTTCGTTACTACTGTTGTTACTTTCAGGTTTTCAACGGAAGTTTCAGGGTTTGTAGCTGGGATGCCGCCGGTCTTCGTGCGACTTACTTTTCGACCGATAATGTATTTATGTCAAGGATAGGAAAAACCGGTGTGTGTGCCCCGAACGAAGCGGAAACCGATTATCCTGTAAAGAATTCCTGAAATAGTTGCCAGTGCTTTTATTTTGATTCTGAGTAGGAGAAACCTAACCCTGATTGTTTCACTCTACAGCTTTTCCATGCCTTTGTCTACTATGGGGAGAGTTCTTAAATAGCCATTTGGCAGTTCTTTTTGTGAAAAACTTGACTGGGGCTCTTGCAGAATAAACAAACAGGGATGGTTTTTTCGAATGAAGTGAACATTGACCCATTACGCTGAATCCCATCAAAGTTGCGACTATATGGAGTGCCACCTAGAAGACAAGGTCTGCGCATGGCGTCATCTTTAGTGGATTCCCTCACGAAGTGGCAAATACGCTGAAACTCGTTGATAGTATGCCGCTTCGCGGCATACTATCAACGAGTTTCAGTTTACTATCAACGAGTTTCAGTCTTGGCGTGACACTTTGTAGGGATTTCTGTGTTGGCGTTGCTCTCCGTCGTCTCATCAGAGATGGAAAGAAACAATCTTATCTCGCCACGTGCGAGATAAGACATGCGACAATGTCCCACTCTGTTGTAACCGCCGACTTCGACGATGACCTTGGTGGCCGCAAGGACCAGCAGCCCTGTAGCCTCGTTGTGGCGGAATTGGGCCTCTGCGTGGTGTCTGACGTCAGACTGTAGATGGTTAAAAACGCGCTTGTTTCATCAGTGTTTACTTGACCTTCGCGCTATTTATTTGTAGTAGTCCGATGTCAGTGCACCCACAAGGTGCGCCGGCACCACTGTCAACCTCATACTTACGAAGAACATTGGCACGCACATCCAGTGTCTCGCCTTGCCCACTTACTTTGCCAAGCACTCGTGGTGGTCGTCGGCGGCATTCACGATGCCAGCCATGACGGCGATGTGCATTAAGCGCTTGGCACCTCCGTCCTTAGGTACATGACATTCTGCCCGCCTTTCACGAACGTGCTACGGCTGTTGCTTTTTACTTGGCACATTGTGGGCAAGATAGGGTGCCTTTCATTAATTCTTGCTTGTATGTTTTTCAGAGTGCGTCTACGACGTGATCACAGTGGGAGCCTTCACGGCGTACGCCCAGAAGTACAACCAGGGGGGTCTTCACAGAATGCTCAACCAACTCAGGAATGCCTACCCTTCACTCCAGTGAGCAGCCAAAATGGTTTTTGCTTAACCCACCAATTCCTAGGCGTCGGGAAAGACGACGCTGGTCGTGAAACCTTGCTCTTACTATTCACGCTTCGATTTCGTTGCAATTTACGATGCAAGTTTGTCTTCGAGTGCCGATCCCAGATCTCTAATTTGACTAGAAGCATGATGAATATAAATGCTGATTCCAGATCTCCAATTACTTTCTAGGTAACTGTGTTAGATGCAGTGCTATTGACAGTGTAATGGATGTATTTGAAGCATGCCTTAGGTACTTTAGAGCACCCTTCCCTTAACAACGACAAACAAAGCACATGTGGCTCTCACTCAAAGGATTTAGCTGCTGGTGCTCGTTTTATTAAGACGAAAGCCTCATATGTCTCATTGTTCCGTCGACCTTCAAAGTCCTTGAGCGAAAACATGTCGACGACACGAAAGGTACGAAAACATGTCGGCAACACGAAAGGTACCAAACCTACGGTTTGCCACTGGATCACGAGATGGCGTTACTTGTGCCTGAATCGGTGGAGGCATGCACGCAGTACAAACCCAACGGGAGAGGAGGACACTCGTTCGGACAGCGGTGAAAAGTGGGCTGCAACATGCCGTGAAATTAACGGCGCCAAAAGCGCGTCGTCGGAGAGCGCGCTGTCATCGGAGGTTCGCTATCCCCGGGATCGGCACTTGGGCTTTCGCCTTCAGGTCGTTTTAAGGGTAACATAAAAGGCCCTGTGAATTTTTCTCTTCGTAGCCTCTTGAAGTCTGGAGTCACCAAGCAAAGTTTTCCTATACAAGTCGAGCAATACCCAATTCATGACTGGCACATAAAAATAGAATTTAAAAACCCCTCTAGTACTTCAAGTTTCAGTTCACTACGAAAAAACATTCATAAAACAAATATATTTATATTTCCCAACCAAATTGAACTTTTTTTTTTATTAGGAGGTATATTTAACAGTTTACACCAGCCAAAAACTATTTTTATGAAATCTATTTTATTTCTGTAAATTTAAGTGAGAATGTACCATAATATACCTAGGGATGGGTTCCTTTTTAAAGTGAGACCAAAAAAAGCTAAAAAAAAATGTAGCCAGGCGGGGATGCCAAATTTAAACAGTTTGAAAGACTGCTTCTTCATGGTCTATTTACGCAACTTGTCATGCACGCCATTGGAACGTCGGTTAACGGTTGCCGGTCGAAATTTTGAACACGCTCGATCATCCGGATGCCTTCCTTATATAGACCAACACGCGGCCCTGATGTCATGCAGCTGTGGTGGTGCTGTCGACGGAACTGCGCATGCGCAGACGCTTCACTTCACGCGAATTTGGTTTCTGCGCACGCGCAGTGCCCACTCTGGGTGTGGGCAACTCGGGCTTGTTTGTAAACAGCGTGTCCATCTATAGTCGACATATGATGGCGAGTGAACTTTTAGATGCCGCTGAACTCGTTGCCCGATTTTTCGGACTCGGTTCGCACCACTCTTTAATGTTTGAGGGTTTGCAAAGAAGTTTCAGGGGCCCCTTTTCCTAGGGTTTCAAGGGCCCCCGTCCCTACGGTTTCAGGGTCCCCCTTTCTAGGAATCTTCGTGTCCCATCCTTACGGTCTAGGGGCCTCCTTACCTAGGCTTCCAAGGGCCCCCTCCCTAGCACTTCAGAGGCCCCACTTCCTTCCTTAGGGTTTCAGGGTGTCCCTTCCTAGGTGTCTCAATGCCCCATCCTCACGGTCTCGGGGCCCTCTTCCCTAGAGTTTCAGTGACCCCTCCCCTAGGGCTTGAGGGTCCCTCTTTTCCTATCACTTCAATGTCCCCCATATACCCGGGGGACACCTCGGAGCAGCCCGTGCAGCGGAACCCCCGTGCAGGCGCGAGGGCCAGCCTTCCCCGCTGGGGCCCGACCGGCTGTCGACTGCGGCCCAGGCGGTGCTGAGCGTGGAGCAGCTCGGGGACGAGGTGGAGGCCCAGGTGCAGCGGCTGCTCCGGCTGGCAGACCTCGGGGACGCCCCCGCCATGCAGGCTGCTGTGGCCCGCATCGGGGACCGGGTGAGGCCCCCCTTAATTTAACCCTTTGACAAGATGTACAGAAATTGCTTAAAATGTTTATATTTTTAAAATATTAAACGAGATCAAATAAAAAAACAAAGCTGAAATTAAAAAAAAAAAAAAAAATGATAAGGTAAATTGACAAGTTATAGCTTTGTTGCCAGTGGGCAACACCGGACAGACGTCCAAAGTTGAACGGTAAAAATCTTAAAAATCTTAAAAAATCTTTAACAGTTGGACGGTAGAAATCTTAAAAATCTTAAAAAATCTTTAACAGTTGGGCGGTAGAAATCTTAAAAAACAACATAAAAAGGTTTGAATTCCTGCATCACTCATCGGCACCCACCCGAAACTAGTCATCCTTGGTCAAGAAACTGCAATTCTTTTTCGGATAACAATAAAGAGGGTGCGCTGACACATTGCAGCCCTAACCTAGCAATTTCTCGAGCCTCGAGCATTTCCCTTGTGGTTTTGTTTCTGTTTTTGTTTAGTACTGTACAATCTGTGAAAATCGGAGTACAACCACAATCCTGGCAGTGCACACCGAGGTGTCCTGATATGACGGCATCAACGTTGTAACGGTGTGCATTGCTGGGATTGTGGTTGTACTGCGATTTTCACAGATTGTACAGTACTAAACAAAAACAGAAACAAAACCACAAGGGAAATACTCGAGGCTCGAGAAATTGCTAGATTAGGGCTGCAATGTGTCAGCGCACGCTCTTTATCATTATCCGAAAAAGAATTGCAGTTTCTTGACCAACCATGACTAGTTTCGGGTGGGTGCCGATGAGTGATGCAGGAATTTTAACCTTTTTATATTGTTTTTTAAGATTTCTACGATGTGTATTTTGTAGGCATGGGCGAATAGAGGATTTTGGGTCCGAATCGAATTCGAAGCGAATAGTGATTTTGGTCGAATAATTTCGAATCAAATAGTTTGAATAGTACAAGCAAGAAATACCACAAGATATGTTTAAACTATAGTTTTATATTTGCCCTTATTCGGTATTAGATATATTGTAATTGTTAGTTTCAAGTGTATTGAGTTCGGTTGCATGAAATGGTCGGAAGCTTGCGCCACCTGGCCGTAAATCCAAGCCAGAGTAAGTGAAACCCGTTTATATCGAACTTGCAAAAAAAGCCTACCAGTTCGATATAGCGGGTAATTCGACATAAAAGTTTTAATGAATTTAACTCTCAAAAATCCACTTTCTGCTGAAATATTACACAATGAAGTAGTCTTGCATCTTCTGCTGCTTTTTCTTCATTGCATCCGCGATAACAATATTTTTCTACGCTATCGAGGACTCCAAAATGCTGAGGCCGCTGCCTTCTATATTCGCGCATTAGCGCCGAGCTATGCCGAGTGCACGGAGCACCTCCAGCGGGAGCACCTTCTCCTGCAGAGCACCGTTTTGCTCTGCAAGTTGGCTTTCCCCTAAAACAGGTGGTTGTGTTGGGAGAAACCAACTAGCAAAGCAAGCTGGCTGCGTCAGTTTGGAAGAAAAAATAATATTCTCTTTTGCAGACGGAGCGGGGAGAGGGAGCACAGAGCACCCTCTCTCCGCTCTTTTCGCAAATGATATATTTTCTTTTCTTCCGGGCAGCCGCCCAAAGAAAAAAAAAAAAAGGGCCAGCGTGCTCTGCAAGCTGGCTTTCCCCCAATTCAGCCGCTTGCATTGGGGGAAAGCTAGCTTGCAGAGCAAAACGGCGCTCTTGGCAGTTCGATATATCGGTAGCGGCAGCTATTTTTGTTCGATGCTACCATAGTTTTTGCTATATATTATCACTGTAACATTACTGTGCACAAAAATTGTTCGATATAAGGAATAATTCGATGTAAACGGGTTTGAAATATTTGGGCTTGACTGTATTTAGAAAGGTCGAATAATTTTGTATTGTCGAATAATTCGATATTGTCGAATAATTCGATATTGTTGAATAATTCGATATTGTCGAATACATAAATTCGATACGAAGTGAATGCCGAATAGGGAAGAATTCGATTGGCTATTCGTAATAACCGAATATTCGCCCATCCCCTAGTATTTTATATCTTCCTAACTTGTTTGTGTTGTTGCTGGTAATATATATTGAGCTGCAGCGGAAATAGAGTTCAGTTGTAAGTAGTGCTGTGTCTGTGTCTCCTTCTATGTCCGTTGTCCTGTCACGCTTTTTAATCATTATGAATCACCAACTCGACCAACTTTCTACCCTCGTCAGCTTTGAGAAACCTTTATTATCCACCCGAAAGTCTACTGATCTTGAAAATGGTGCTTACTGATAATTAATCTATTGAGTACAGTCGCCAGCTTATTTTTCGGACACGTCCCATTATTCGGACATTTTCGCCGAACCGTAACTTACCCCATAGGGTTAATGTAAAACATTGACTGAAATTTCGGACACCATAAAGCTTATTGCTAGATATTTTGGACATAAATTGTGAGATTTCCTCAGTTTACAGCCACAAAACAGCCACCACGGTAGCGCTGCGAGCTTAGTTGCCGCCATTTTAGTTATCATCTTGCCTTGTAGCCTCGATACCACGTCCTACTCTATAAACAAGCTGGGTTGAGGCGATAGTCAGGATTTCCGGTTCCGCAATAGCCAACATGGCTGCCGTCTGCCCATTCTTATGGTTCTTCCAGTTTTTCTCGTGGTCCGTGTTTTCGAGTGCGACTGCGAGAAGAGCGGCCGTCTTCCGTTCTTGTGGTGTTCAAGCGCAAAGGTTTTTTACCGATAGCTTAGCATTGAAGCGAGCTTGGTGGATGAAACGTTGTCTCCAAATTAGTGCCACATGGCGCCAACTTCAGCTTTGCTGTTTGTGCCCTCAAAGCGCAGCACTGTGATCGAACAGATGAACGAACAAGTGAAAAGTGAACGATATAAAGCGGAGGTTGCACGAGAACTTAAAATTGACATCAAGCAAGTGATAAATGGCCAGCAGGTACGCAGCGGGATATGCGCGGAAATTTGATATTTTGGGCTGAAATAGATTTTTCGGACTGTTTGATTATTTGGAGAATTTAGGAGTCCCCTCCGAATCTGAAAAATCGGACTGCAACTGTAGACCTATTGCTAAATTACCTAAGCATCAAGGAGAATGCAGGGAATGGCGTTCTTCATGCCGCACGTGCTGACGTCTGCAGCAGTAACTGTTTAAAGCAAAAGCCTAAAACAAATGGCATCTTGCACGTGCGTTTGTCAGTGCTCTATTTTAGTTATTTACTTTGGATCTTTTATACGGGAAAGGATAGCGCGTGCGGCGCCCGCATCTGCAGCAGTAACTGTTCTGAAGCAAAAGACGAAAACAAATGGCATCTTGCAGGTGCGTTCGTCAACACTTTATTTTGGTTATTTACATTGAATATACGGGGAAGGCATGTGCGTGCAGCGGTGTGAGTGTAGAGTTTTTGTTGACGCACATGAAAAATCCACGTAACCCTAGCCAAAAGCAGCTTCGCTGTAAAAAATCGTTCAGCCTTTCTACTCTCGTGAAGAAGGAAGACCAGCGGAGCTACTCAATACACTGTGTGCTTCTTCTTCGTCGTCGTCTGTTTTTCGCGCTGTTTTCTACGATGAAATCTCTTCGTCGTTGTCTGTTTTTCACGCTGTTTCCTACGATAAAATTCCCCCAATGCGCCCAGCTATCCGTTCTTCTATGATAGCTGGAAAGGTTGGCGCCATCTACGAGCGACGGCAGAAACCATACTGATTGTGTGCTTGCCGCCGTCGCTTATAGATGGTGGTAGTTGTCCAGGTAGGTTTGTGTCGACATACATGGACACGATCCTGGGAAACCTAGCCCTTAACAGCTCCGCTGTAAAAAAGATTGAGCCACCATCTTGGCACCATCGAGCCTGGGAGTTTGGGTACTTTGGTAGCATCCATTGACTCCATAATCAATCAGGGTTGGGCTTTTTTGCTGCGACAACCGTCCGTCTTGGAGGCTGCGAGCATCCCTGTTCTATTTCAGGCGAGGCAGCTGACGACGCTGTGCCACCCGCTGCTGGTGGAAGAGGCCCTGGCGGTCTGGGAGAGTGCTCGGGCAGACCGGGAGCCGGCGTCGGCCAACGGGCAGTCTGCCCGGGGTCAGTCCCCTGACCGCTCAGACCGGCGGCCCGCCCGCCTCAAGTCAGCGTCCCTGCCCCGCCAGTTCCCGCTGCCTGCCTTCCCCTCTCCCGGTGAGTTGACCGAGCCCCCAAGAACGTAATGCCAAAAGGTGCTCAAAGGGACGGGACAAAAGGAAGGAACGCTGGACAAACATGTGCCGAATCACAAGTGAAACGTGTAGTGTAAAGGACTTATTTTTTGCAAATTTCGTGACTCGTGTATAATCGCGAAAAATGGGTCCCATGAATATGTTTTCCTTTTGTAACAAATGCATATCATATATACCACCCTGATTCACGAAACTTTGTGTTCGCAAAATATACGCCTCGCAAGTGGGCTCATTTTCGTCTTCTGCGCATGAGAAAGGAAGTAGTGGTGACGTCATTACGTTGAGCCCTGATTGGCTGATCGCGACCCCCTATCTGAGCGTCGTCTGCTCCTTTGCAACGTCGTCTGCTCGCAACGTCGTCTGCGTCTGTCTTACCTTTCCTGCGACTTTAGAAAGTGCAAGTCTTTACGAGCGAGCTCGACTTCGCCTTTCAGAGAGGGCAGACGAAATAACTCGAGCGGTACGTTGTTTTTGTCTAACAACTAGCAGACGCGCATCAAGGAGGGAAATCAAAGGACTCGCTGGCGAGGTGTCCCGAGGTGCCGAGGTGTCCCGAGGTGCCGAGGTTTGTTTGCTAAGAACCGAGAGCGAGCGTGTTAGTGTCCGCAAGTTCACTCCCAAATACTTTTTCCCTCCTTTCGTGTGCAGCGAGACCCCGCATTCTTTAACGGCGTCGGCGGGTTGGTGCAGTTAACGTCGTCTGCTTTACGTCTGCTAGTCAAAGTGATGGCTGCTTTACCTTTCCTGCGTCTGTCGGAGATTCACCGCTTTTTCACCGGCGAGAGTCACCGTTGCCTCGGGAAACAAAGAGATAACAAGAGGAAGAAATTGACCTCTTAATCTAAAATTGAGGTCAGCGATCAAAGTATAATACGAGAAGGGTGCACAAGGGTCGCGCGGGCATATTCCATTCAGCACACGAGCCAGTCGTGGGCAGACGGTCGCCGAGTCGCGGAGTGCCCGCTAGGCCTAACTGTCGAGCCAGTATTGGCCGAGCTCGCTTGGTCGCGTTCAGTGGAATCGTGACCGTTGGAGGTTTTCCTGGGGGGTTGTGGATTCAGCGTTCTTGTTCGTCGTGGTCTGTTTCAAGTACTTTTTACTTTTTTCTTGCTGCTTGAAGTCGGGACGCGTGAGAAGCGCATGTAGAAAAATAAACGTCCGTGGGTCGTCGCGACCGCGACGCTATCGGCCATGCTGATTTGATCGTAAGAAGTACGTAAGACAGCTTCGGAGCTGTCGTAGGATTTCGTCGTAACCTGCGCAAAACGTACGAAAATTTCGTTTCGTGAATAGGAATTTGTTCTTAAGTTTTGTCTTATGCACATTCTTGGCGTAAGATCGTTTCGTGAATCTGGCCTCTGCACTTCCGAAAGTCGCAGGAAAGGTAAGACAGACGCAGACGACGTTGCGAAGGAGCAGACGACGCTCAGATAGGGGGGCGCGATCAGCCAATCAGGGCTCGGCGTTCTGACGTCACCGCTACCCCCTGCGCAAGAAGCAGACGAACTTGCCCTCCGGATACCAGAAAACCACACGAATTTGCCGAATAGAGCCATCGAAGATAAAGTTGTTTATAGTATTAGAGAAAAAGAAAGATCAGGAACCAGGCAGCAAAACAAAAGAATGCAAACATAGAAGGCCTTGCACAGAAAGCCAAAAGAAATATACAAACAAAAAGAAAGAAAAACAATCAAAAGAATGTAGAGTAAGGCACACGAGTTTTTGCTATTACCGTATTTGCACGAATATAACGCGAGTTTTTTTCCGAAATTACGTGCTCCAAAACGCACCTCGCGTTATATTCGGAATCGAGTTCAGCCACGAGGCGCGCGAGTCTGGAGAAAGCCAGAGGAGAAAGCCATCCCTTCAGCTCAATGCAAAATATCCGGTGGGAAAAGAAGTGGGAGTGTGGAAGGGAATTTATTAGCTACTGGGCCACGTGAAGGGACGAATAGAAAACATAAAAAAGCATTTTTATCATTTTTTTGTTTGTACAACGCGTGCACGCCGCAGAAACTTAGCGCGCGCGCGCGCACACACACCATGCGGGAATGCGGGCACCGGCCAATTCGAGTCAAGCCCAGCCTAGCCAAGTCAAGTCAAGTCAACACAAGCCAAGCCAGGACCACTAACCGCGTTTACGCCAAGGTTTACGCAATCGTGCAACGCGAGGCATTTGTTTATGCAGAGGGACCAGAACAAGAAGTATGATCGTGTATCGGATTCAGCAGTCTTTTTTTCTGCTGCGCATTGTTTAGTTTCTGCTCCAGAGTGATCCGGTGTTTGTGTGTTGGTGCTTCTGCTTCCTGCCTTGTTTGGATTGTGGGCTGCCAAGGAGCTCTCACATAAGAAAAAAGGAACTACCAGACAAGCAGGTGCCGTGCTGCTGCTTATCTGCATAGTCGCCAAGTGGATTGTAAACGGAAGGACCTGAGCTGTGAGGATGAGTGCAGTCAAATAATAAACTGATATTTCTTCTATTTCCATTGACTTTTCACATCTGCTATGCCCCCGAGTGCGAGAAATTGACGCGGCCTCGGTTCGCGTTATAATAGTAATAATTTTTTTTTTCTTTTTGAGGGCATCAAAACCTGCCCTCGCGTTATATTCGTGGTCGCGTTATATTCGTGCAAATACGGTAGTTTGGTAGTTCATCAACTAGCCCGACTCACTGCCTTGCCGCATTCACAGAATTCCCTGGAGTCGGCTGGGCAGTCTTCGCGGGACGCAGTTGCTCAATTACCTCATTTACTCGCGTAACAGACGGTCCGCTCACGAACGAGGCCGCGGCATAAATTGCGTACCACCTTCCTGCCCAACATTGCCGCAAACCGACGTGCAACACATCCTGCGTTGACACTGCCTCCATCACTGCATTGTGGGAAAGCAGCGACTTTGATTTAACGGCGTCCACCGTGACATAATTTCTCTATGTAGTCTCGCGTTTCTTGAAGAAAGTTGCGCATCTCAAGGTGCGGCTCCCTCGATCAGACGCCGGTGCCTGGCGGAGCGGACTCCGTGGCGAGAGGAGGAAGAAGTCGTGGCCCCCGTGCCTCGCGTTTGTGCGTTCGGCGGCTCTGGTGTCGCTCTGGCTTCGACTCTTCGGCTGGCTCGTGGCCGAGGTGACGAGAGTGCTCCGAGCAGCATTTCTGTCTCTCCGTAAGCGGGGTACGCTCAATGCCGCGGTGCTCTGTGCCACGTTTTGGAGGGGGCGGGGTGGTACGGGGCGGGGCTAGAGGTTGTTTGTGAACGACGGATGAAACCGCTAGCGGCTGAATATGACGGTTCGAAAACTAGTCGACTTTGTATGCAACGCTCTATCATCTGGCACATAAGCCACGAGGGACGGAAAATAATGTTCGTTCACGTGTCTTGGTCATTTTGTGAATACCATTCATCTTAACACAGAATGTGCTCAAGGGCGTTCCTTCACGCCTTGAAAACCGTTACGATATGGGCAAACATACTCGAGAGGACAATCCGTAAAAAAAAAAAGTGTGAAAATGAGAAGAAGGAAAAGAATTTTAAACTTGTCTTAACGGGAATTGAACCCACGACCCTACGATTGGGGGCTCAACATTCTGCCACCGCACCAACGAACAGGCAAACGCGAAGCTAGCTGGCTTAATTGTCTCTACCACGGTAGTAACTACTAACCGTCGGAACGTGAACGCTGCATGCCGGCGTTCGCATTCAAACGATTTATGGGGAGAAACAAGAACTCCGAGAGCAGCCCACCATCGCATAAAAAAAGACAGCTACGGCCTCCGAAAAATGAAAGAACCACAACATCCGCCACAGACCCCGAAGAAGGCCGTGGAAACACGTTCCACGTATGCCGACTGTATCCGTGGGATCAAGATGAATCGAGCATTTCTAACTAAGTCAATGACTTACTTAAACATCTAGTATTTTAAGCAAGTCGTTGACTTGCTTCCAGATGGGTGAATCCTGGGTTCCTAGATCACCTACCAGAGGCTAACGTGGGACGCAGGTTGAAGGGCGGTTTTGTCGGCGTTGGGCCGGGTCTCAGTCGGCCAGGACGGGGTGCCGGTGGAACGCCAATGCTAGTGTCCTGCTCTGACCTCCGGCGGGGGAGACTGGCCTCAAGAGAGATCTTTTGGGCGAGAAGAAGAGAAGACAACAATTTTTTAGTCTTTAAGGCCTCTAAAGGGTCGGGGTAATGCACGTTCTACGGAGACTGCGAAAAAGTGAAAGAATGTTTGCATTGGGAAGGCTGCCTATTGGCATACATAGTCTCCCAAGTAGGAAAAAAAGGTTCCCTGTGTTATTTTCCTACTAGGAAATGACACGGGGATGCAGATCGGAATCATTTTCTTAATGGGCAAAGGGCCGGCTTTTTGTTTTGTACCGGGGCATTCTTTGTCAAGGGTGGCTTTTAGGGACGTCGGCTTTTGGAACGGCGGAAACCGGTTTGATATGCCGCATTTTGGTTTGGAGGCGCACTTCTCTCCGAAGAGCTTCCTCTTTCACTGTCGCCCAAAGTTGGAGATGGGAAGAATAGTTCTACTCTAACTATTGAATTCTAACGTTCTGTCTGTGGTTGCCACGACTGCCCGCAGTGCATTGCACACAGGATTATGCTTCCGGGGAAAGTCGTCATTTGGAACACCAAATTTTTCCCAATGGGAGAAAGTCTGCTTTTTGAATGCAAATTGCGTTTAAGAGCTTCGATTCCCGAGAAGATGGAATGCCGAATCGAAAGAAAAGAAGGAAATTCTAAATGCATCCCAAAGGAATACAAATCCATGGCCCTATGATTGTGAGCTTGACTGTCAACCACTGCACCAGTGTGTGGGCAGACACAAAGCTAGCTGGCTTTGTCTCTACAGTGATGCTCTCTGCTAACAGTCCGAACGCAAATGCTGGTCGCCTGATGCTGGCATTCGGTGTCCGCAATTGGTGTTTGCATTCGAGCAGTTCATGGGAAGAAAAAAATGCAGGACGTGCACATCGTTGCATAAAAAATCTGAGCATTTGGAATAAAATACCACGCTATAACCGAAGAAAAAAAAATAAAAAAAACAAGACTACACTGTCCACCCCTAACCCCAAAGAATGCTGCGGGCGAAAACAGATTTTGCGTAACGGACTTTCTCCGTAGGATCAAGATAAACCTTTTTTTTTTGCCTTCCTCGACTTGTGCTGGAAGCTTTGTGAGCTACTTAAAGAAACACTGAAATGAAGATTTAAATATACTTCTCACATTCAGAAATAAGTTAAACACAATCAACCATATCTTCTGACAAGAATCGCGCGTTCGCGTTTTGAACGGATGGCTATAGTTTTTGTTCCAAATGGCCAATTGCAGTGAGCACTCGAAGGGCTCAAAAAGCAGCCGTCGGAAAGCGCGACGAGTCTCGGGAGATTTGGCGCTTTCGACGCGCTCAAGACGTTGAGTTCTATTTCTCGGGCGAGGCTATGGGGAGTCCGGCGTGGTCGCAAACTTGGCCATTCGGTGGCGTCGATGCTTTACAACCCGGCCGGTGGCAAAAAAGTGACTCGCCTCTGTTTTAAATTCCCCTCTCCCTGCTCCCTGTGAGAATCTAATAGGTGCAAGAAAGAAGGAAAATCCTGTCTGGCCAAGTTTGTACCGAGCTATACTTCTACAGAGTGGTGCCGCTTTCGTGCGAAGATATACATCACGAAGTTCGAAAACATCCACCGGGTGGAATGTGGTAATCAGTTTATTCTTTATAAATAAGGTTTTGGGTGTCTTTTCCAACGAATAATCGATCCCTCTGCGGTGTTGCCGGAACGTGGTTCACGTTTAGACAATGAAATGGGTGCTAGCATTTCGTTGCAGTGCCCCTCTAACGTGGCAGTGCCACCCCACCGCGCAGGGGACTCTGCCTCCGCCAGCGACGACTCGTCGAGCGAGGACTCCTCCAAGGACGGCGCGGCGGAGACTGCGGACCGCCGGGACGCCGGCTCGGTAAACGGGAGCGTCCGCAGCATGGACCTTCGCCCCACGCAGCTCCACAAGTCGGACTCCATGTACTCCACGGACGAGTCGCGCTTCTCCGGCTTGTCGGAGGAGTTCGAGCCCCTCGTAAGTGAGACGTCACTGATGTTCGCCGCTTTGCCGGCTTCTCTGTTGTCTTCTGTCCGATGCCTGCTATTCGTTTGCCTCATGGGTTCCCTGGGGGGTTTCCCCGGAGTACTGCAGGGGGTTCGCGGAGCTCCCAAATATCTCCGATTGTCGCCGCTCCCGAGCAAAGTGTTTTGCCAGTTTGAGCGCTGTTTTCAGGTGATCCGAGCCCACAATTGGTGCGTAATTACGAGCCGAGCGCCCCCTAGCTTGTGCCGTATTGCTCACGAGGTCTGTAGACGTCTGCCCTGCTTCTTGCTTCAGCACCGAGACTGGAAGCTTTTTTTTCGGCTGTCGGTCGACGGAGAGAGGCATTCCTCGAAAAGAAAAAAAGGTTGAGAATCCCTGATCTACCCAGTGCCTCGGTTTATCTACGAAGAGGGAGTTTGGCTGTTTTTAAGACGGATGTCATTAATGTCGTCGAAAGCCTGTTTTGAGCTTCTCAATAAAGTCCACTTTGGGGTTCTTTATAGATAGACTGCAGTTAAAACGTGGTTCACGAAAGAATGGGCTGAATGATAGCTTCTCTCTTACTTGTATGTTGCTATCATTTGGAGATGGCATTGCACGCAAAGGTTGATGGCGAGTGTACAGGCTGTCCCCAAAACAATTTTTTTTTTCTTATTAGGAATATTAATCATATTTTGCCAAATGCTTGTTCTACGCCTATATGTGGCACTGGCAGTCTAATCCATATGCCAAAGTTTCAGAACTTAAGTTATCTTATTCAGAAGTTAAGAGTGATTTTCGGAAATTTTGGACGGGAAAATGGCAGCGAACGGAACCCTCGAATACACCAAGCTGAATGGCCAGTTACCGAGAGTGGGCTCCATTTTCCCAATGAAATTTCCACAAAATCCCTCATCACTTTCGTATGAGACAACGGTTAGTCCCAAAACCCTGGCATCAGTTTCGAACCGCCATGGCTACGTTTGGGCGGAGAACAAACATTCAACGGCGCGCAGTTTAATTTTCCAGTCAAAAATACCGCATACTTTTTTTTGGGGGGGGGGGGGGGGGGGGGGGGGTGGAGGGGAGGACACACCGCATATAAATCGGCATGGTTGCCTCATCTTGCCATCCGGTTGGTCGGCTGCAGGACCTGACGCACCTGAACATTCGTGCGAGCATCATGTGCATGGTGAGCCGGGTGCAGCACCTGGCCAACGCCGGCAAGGAGGACCCGGCCCCCATGCTGACGCCGTGCAGCACCCCGGGGGACCTGTCGCCATGGGCGGCCGAGCTCATGCCCAGCGTGCGCAAGCTGCGCCAGTCTATGGCCTGCCTGCACAAGGTGGCCCGCTTCACCTATGCCCTGCTCTCCCTCAAGGTGGGCGGCACCTTCGGAGGCCCTTCCAATGCTCTCGTATCGGTCGATCGTTATGAAAGGATTGTTCTGAACGAGCATCAGAAACAAATGTCACGAACGACCAGCATGCTGGAAGCGTTGCACGACGTTACTGTTATATATATATATATATATACACACACACACACACACACACACACACACACAGTCGAGCCCGGTTATATCACACCCGGCTATTTCGAATTATTTTTTATATCGAACAGTCCAAACATCCCCTTAAAAATCACGTGTAATAGTATAGGAGCGTTGTTTTTCTGTATCAAACTCCCCTGGCGAGGACACCCAATATAGCTAATTAAAACGGCTCCCTATCGCTTCTCCCGCAGTCGGATTGCGCCGGTGGGGAGCACATAGCTTGCTGTGCGGGCCTGGCAGACCGCCAAGCCAGCACATGTGTTTGGGGATACGCAGCGAAAAAGCATTTGTAAAAAAACAGAAAAAACAGCAACCGTAAAAAAAAAAAGAAAAAGGATGCCAAAAGCAAGGGCAAGGGCCCGCACGCGCGTAGGGAGGGCAGGGAGCATTCGCTGCTGGAACGGTAGGGAGGGCAGGGAGTACTCGCTGTTGGAACGGTAGCGTGCGCTGTTTTCCCGAACACCTATGTCGCTGCGTGACTCCTTAGCCCCAAAATAATATAAGCAAAAAAAAGGAAAAAGAAAAAGTCTTTGTCAAGTTGAGTGTGTTGACAACAAGGGTTGAGCAATCACACTTCAAAGGCCTTATTTTTGTTTAACTTTTTCTTTAGCCGCTATTGCTTTGCCTGTTTTTTCTTTTTTTTTTTTCTTGCCTTTTTTTTTTTTGCTGCCTGAAATTTCTGAGTTTTTTTCTTTTTGCTTAACTTTATTCTATGGTTCAAGAGTTTTTTTGTTTTTTTTTTATCTGGCTTGCTTTTTTATTTTTTAAATTATTTTTATGTTTTGTTACCGGTGCTGTGTGGAGGTCGTGGCAGGCATAAAACGATCGCAAAGACCATCATGTAAACGTGGCAGTGTTTGTGATCTTCAACAACTAAGCTCTGCTTTATTTAGTGGCTCTTAGAGGCTCTATTAGGCAAGGTCCCGTTTGTCGCGACCTTCAATATTAGCAGAGACGTGCGGAAATTTCAACTGGAGCTTAAGTCAACATATTTTTTATAGCAAATTATCGATATATCAAACTATTTTACGATCCCCTTTGAATGCGATATATCCGGGTTTGACTGTATACCGCAAAATCCTGAGTGAATGCTCACTCGAAATTTAGAGATAATCATGTAAAACTCGGGGACGGGCGCACATCCTTTGTGTATTTTCAAAATGATAAAAAAAATGAGGGGTGGAGGTTGTGTGGTTTGTGCAGGATACATTCCATGCTCCCGGTCTTTGTCAGCGCGATCGAGCCTGTATAATTTTTTTTTACCTCAAGCCGGTGGGAGGTTGTCTGGGAATTGCAGCCTGCTCAACGAGCGTGGCTCTTTGAGCACGCCGCAAACACCGACAGCCGTGTTATCGTTTGAAACAGAAACGGTAACGGCAATCTCAGGATATTCTTGAAAACAATAACGACTCTGTCTAGATCATTTGCTTCTCAAACATAAAATATTGTCCATAAACATGCAATCATTATGACACGGAGAAACAGTTTTACGACAAACATTTCATGCGTCAATCATCTCTTTAACCATCGAGACCTGAGAAAAGCTGCCTAACTGGCTAAGCCCCTATTGTTATGGGTGGGTCCTAGAGCACGGCTACCCACCTAAATTGCGTCTAACAAAGTATTGCTAATGGGGTCCTCGCAGGAGCCTCCCCACGCGGCGTCGTCGAGCTACGCCGTGCGGCACCGACGGGACGTCTGCTTCTCCCATGCCGTGAGTGTCTTCCTTATGGGCAGTTGTATTACTGGTGATTAGTTGCTTCTAAAGCGTTATGCGTTACACAGCTGGTTTCTTGCCACTTTTGGCAATGCACTCGCGTAGAAAAAGGGCGTCGCACGAGCGGTGCGCCGGCGTTTAGCCGGAACTCGCGTCGTCACCAACCAATCGACCGAAGGCCAAAGTGGAGCTCACGCTCGACATGAGTTGAGCCGAGTTCATGCCAAATGCCAACACAGCCCTCCTTTCCAATACACGTTCGAGGACTATGCGATCGAACGATGGCGGACTCGCATAATTAGCGCAGCGGCCTCTACATGGCGCACACTTTTGGGAGGGGTCTACGGCATGCCGAGTTCTGCCGTGCGTTGTCACCTCAAAGCGACACGCCGTCTGTCTGCACTGCCGCCGCTGTTGCTCGAGAGGGGCGTCCTTCCCACCCTAGCTGACGTCACTGGTGGCGGCCCTGATGGCCAAGGTGTGGTGCCAGCAGCGGGACCCAGCTTTCCTGCACGCCCTGGGCAGCGCCGGCGTGCTGGCCCAGTTCTCGGGGCTGCTGAGCTGCCACGGGGATGAGCTGGCCATGCTGGAGGACTGGGTCGTGGCCCTGGAGGACCTCGGGGGCGTCACCTTCTGCCTTGAGCCGGCCACCAACGTGTGCAGCCCGAAGCCCCGGGTGGAGGGCAACAGGTGGGCACCCCTCGCGGCGTCTCGGGTTTTTGGGGCGGAGGAGGTCATAGCTCCGCCCCCGAAACCACGGTGCCGGAAACGCTTCTCCGACCGGTGCATTTTCCACATCCTCAAAACTGGTTCTTCAGTTTCCCCCCTATTAGGTCGTTTAAAGCGTCACTTTCGCTGGGCCAGGGCCTTGGCAGTGTTGCGGGGGCAGTGACGGATTTGGCAGACGCCCATCTTAATGCAGGTCGCTCTCTGCCTCGGAGGTCCGCAAAAGCTTTGGTAGTCAGGATTCGGGACGCCGCGACGACGGGGACGCTCGCGTTCTCTAGCACTTTTTTCTTGGAACTTTATGTCCTACGTTTCGCTTTAAACGCGAGCGTGGCGGACAGCACGAGGGTGACCTTCGAGCTCCTGCCGTCCCCGTCGAGAGCACGTGCTCAAGCAGCAGGGATTTCGTTCAAGGAAATGCGCCCACACTTTCAGTCGAGGCTTTGCTCGCGCATAAAGCAGAACAAGATGTTCGGTGGGATTTGTTTTCTCCGACGAATATGAGGGCAATGTCCGAAATTCGAGTCGAACGGGATCACAGTTTCAAGCTCGCACTGTGCTCTTTGCATGCAACGTCGAGCTTTTCTCGCGACGAGTGATAAAGACAGGTTGGGGACTTGCAACATATTCAGCTCGGGAACGTGGAGAATATTGAAGCGGTGCCACCTCTATTTCCGCTCATCACCGGGTCACTTCGGCTCGTATTGCTCTTTCCGAGTCGGAAGGTGTTAAAAAAGTACATGAAACTAAAACAAAAAACCACCATTCTTTTTTTATTGGCTCGAAAACCTTTTGACAATGCTGTAAGCAACCATTTCTCATAGAGTGTTGATAGATTTGATCACTTATATACCGCACAACTTTTTGCTTTGGTAAAGTGCAGCTCCAGGGTCCCCTCATAGGTGGCACCAGCATGCATTTGTGATGGTATACGAAGTATGGACTTGGCCTTCCGACACAATGGATGTGAGGAAAAATATATTATTGAAAAATAATCGGAATAATGACGTTACTGTGACCACAAAAATATATATACACGGAGTCAACTCTAGAGTGTTCTGCTCACTCGCCGTCGCACTCCTGGGCCGGTTTTCTCGAAGCCATGGTAAACCCATTTTGGTAAACCACGGTGCCTAGGAAGGGAAAAGTACCTAGGTACAGTATAGACCACTTACAACGTAACCGCTTATAGTGCAGGACCGGGTATAACGCGGTTTTTTTAAACCACCGGTTCACCTCCCATAGAACTCCATGTAATTACATACCGCTTAAAATGCAGGCGCGCGAAGGGAAATACCGGTTATAGTGCGGTTTTTGGCAGAGCCCGCCGACCGCGCCGACGACCGGAGCAGCGAGCTCGCTTCCCTGTGCGAAACTAGATAACGGCGCTGACGGCGCGAGCCGCACGCTGCACTAGCGGGGCAAGGATGTTGCTCGAAAAAGCGGGCAGAAGCGAAGAGAGAGGCTTCAGTTGCCTTAGCGACGGAGGGACGCACGCACGTGTCGTTCACGTGCGTGCTTCCCTCCGCTGCGTTGGAAACAAAGAAACAAACAACCGCAACGACAGACCAATCGCAGGTCGAGGAGAAGTGTTCGCGCGCGTAGGAGGTGTTGGTTGCATGCTCTCTCCTTTCCCCCCCAACCTCTCTTACAACGCTTCTCCTCCTCCTCCTCCTCTCCGGTCGCGGGCCGGCTGCTTCTATCCGTAAACATGGCGTCGGTTGTGATCGTCGTCGTAGACGGCGTTCATCTCATCGTTCCGCGTAAAAGCGCTATCCTTGACTGTGAATTTTCGTTGTGTGTCGATCGCTGTGATAACCCAGCACGTAGTAGAGCACTGCACGGGCCGGAATTTCTAGGCCCGGCCCGACCCGGCCCGGTAGAGACACGGCCCGGGCCCGGCCCGAGCCCGACAGAATTTTAAATTTCTAGGCCCGGCCCGACCCGGCCCGGAAGAGACACGGCCCGGGCCCGGCCCGAGCCCGACAGAATTGTTAATTTCAAGGCCCCGCCCGACCCGGCCCGATGGCTGTACCCCGAAACAACCCATTTCCGTTTGAACCCGTCCTGTTTCGACCCGCTCCCGAAACGAGCTCCCCATTTGAACCCGTCCTGTTTCGACCCATTCTTTAAACACCCTTCCCATATGAACCCGTCCCGTTTCGACCAGTTCCCTAAACGCCCTTCTCGTTTGAATTTGTCCTGTTTCGACCCATTCCCTAAACGCCCTTCTTATTTGAACCAGTTTCCGAAACACCCTTTGCGTTTGAACGCGTCCCGTTTCAACCTACTTTTATAAGGCCCTGCACATCGCAACCTCTTCGCAAAAAGTCTCCATCGTTCTAAGATTGTCTGCGCACCTTTTCTGTTTAAGAATATGTTCTGAAGTAGGTTTACATGTCAACGCGTTCTTAAAATATACAACCCTTTCAGGCAAGCTTAAGTTTAATATATCCCTAGTTAACCCCTTAAACGTTTTTTTCAAGATGGTTTCAAAAACGTGCAAGCGCGGAACGGACTATGTACACTGCGCGACACTGATACCGCAAACACGACGTTGGCGCTTTTTTCGAATTTTACTTCGAAATGGTTTTAGTAGGCACCAAAGTACACCGCTTAGGTCTGTGGCCCAGATGAGCACTTCTAAAGACACTAATATTTTTGAAAACAGCGTTTTGATTCTATGAGATAAGCATAAAAACACGACGATCCCTTGTTCGCGCTAATATACTAGTGTCGCGCTCTCTGCAATAAGGGAGTCTTAGAATAACGTACTCAAGCACTTTGGGTAAGCTAAAATTAGCATCGCCATAAGTTTTGCATCGCAACGCTATTTTTACGGACCTAAAGCGCTTGCGTACTTTTTTCTAAATCTTCCTAATAGTGAACTAGATATTTTTGAGAGCGATGAATCAGACAGGTTGACAAGCATATGACTGGGACTTTATTTTGTTTACAATTTATAACACTGAACCCTCGCTCACACGGAAAAAGCTTGAAGGCTTTCTAGCTTCAAGATGCCTTTTAGTTATTATTTCTAACGACGCTGTAGTGAATTTGCGCTTCGATTTTTTAGTATTCAATAAACGTAAAAGATTAATGGGCAAACTTCTTACTATCAACAACAATTTATGATTTACGGCACAAAATTGCCCAGGCACGGCCCGGGCCGGCCCGGGCCGGCGCGGCCCGAGAACTTTTTTGTTCAAGCCCGAGCCCGGCCCGGGCCCGAGAAAATATGTGCTACCCGGCCCGAGCCCGGCCCGCGGGCCGGGCCGGGCTCGGGCTTTCGGGCTGGCCCGGGCCCGTGCAGTGCTCTAGCACGTAGTACTAGAAGGGAAGATCCACCTACTCGTGCGGCGATGTCGTGGCGGCGCTCTCAAGACGGCAGAAACGCCCGTGTCGTCGTGTTTGTTTACTTCGACTACAGTGGTGATTTCTAAGCATTTGTGCCCTCGAACATCGCCCGGATTTCTTATTTGGCGCATTTCATGCGTGTGCTCAAGTTCAAGGTATTATTGGCGCGTACCGTATGAAGGATGCGAATTTTCACGCGTTTTCATCTCCGGAGAAAAGTGATTAGGGTTAGCAATCCTGAACGCTCGCAACGTCCGTCCGCAACCCGCGACGCTGTTAAAAGGCTGCGCCAGGCAAAAGCCGCTCATTTCTTTCAAAATGTGTGACACACTTGAGACAGAACTGTACTAGCCTGGTGAAATAAAGACTTTCCTCAAACTAAGCTTTATTTTTCATCTAACATAAAAATTAATTCTTTTACAAAGGTAAGTTGTTTCATGGCATGTATTTTGGCCTGAAAAATTGATGTTTTGGTTATAGCGCGGTACCGCTTATAGTGCGGAGTTTCGCGACTCCCGAGACATACGTTATATGCGGTCTACACTGTACTGTAATAAATGGCTGGATATAGAACAACAATAATTCTTTTTGATTGGGCAATAAGATGCGCCATCTATCGGTGAAACAAGCCAGTCATTTTGTTTAGCCTCTTTTTCCGATGGTTGTCATCGATCTAGTATGGTATTTTAAGGCAAAATATAGTAATGTTGTACTTGAAGACCAATGTATTTGCTTCCGATGGTACAAAGAAATTTTAGCTACTATGCTAGAGTTTTTCGACGAATATTCGGAAATGTAAGAAACATTTCCTCCACTATGTTTCGCCATAAACAACACATAACTTTCCCGTGTTCCTTCCAGTCTGGCAATGCCGGTGCTGTAGTCTCGTTTTTGTTCCTTGCGACGCACGTTTCTGCGATTCCTGCTGATCTCAACTGTTTGCTTCCTCTTCCGTTTGCCCAACCGATCCACCGGCGACGAGAAGCTAAGCTTCTCGTCATCGTTGAATTGCTGGCCACGGGGGATATGTAGAAACCTCAATGCTGTCGGCACACTGTCGGCGCACTGCGAACAAAAAAACAGTACAATGTCTCAGCTGCTCACCCGGAACAAAGACTTTATTGAGGATAACCCCCTTTCTCCGCAAAGTAATCGCTGCTCACGAGTTAGCGTGCATAGTGTAACAAATTAAACATCTTATTATAAATATATACCAACACTCTTTCGCTAAACATTTTTTTTACTCACCATAAAAACACTTGCAAGGCTGATGTACCGTGGATCCCGGACTGCTGAAGAGTGATGCGTTCGCGGAATGCTGCCGTCGGTTAGTTTAGTAGTCTCTCTGAACTACCGCTTTGCTTGACGTGCTAATAGGCTAATGGTGCGTCATTAATATAACAGCTGGATCGAAATGAATGTTCAACAGAACCAAGCAGAACTATTAGCCCTCATTAAGCGACGCCGCGGCCATTTTGCTTCTAGGTACTGCTCTTTCCTCGGCGCCCCTGCTCTTCCAGTCACGTGACCTAGAATTCCCCCTTCTAGGGACAATAGTTAGCTTCAAACCACGGTTCGCGTTCGAGAAAACGGGCCCTGGTGTTGTCGAAACCTCGGATGTCCTATGCGTTTTCCGGATGGCGAAAGCTTGATGTTCGGTGCTGGCGGTGGTTCCCCGGCAAGCCTGTTTGGTGCCGCCATGGGCCTCAGACATCCGTCCGGGGGGATTACTTGGCTGCTGGGGCCCATGGCGTCGAGCTGCGTTCGCTTCTTCTGTGTCCAACCCCAAAACCGCGCTGCACGAGCCTGCCTGTGCCGTCACATCTGCAATGCTGTCTTCCTTTTCTTCTATGTCCCGTTCACATCACCACAGCGTTCTCTCATCGTAAGAGATTGCAAGAGCTCATTCCCAAGCAAACGCAAGTGTGTGAACAGGCCTTACAAGGGCACTAAAGCGGATTTTAAGATCTTATGTTTACGGCTCAAGTTTGATCTGTCAATCCTACTTATAACAAACCAACAAAAATACATTCACGCGTGGACTTTTTCGTTTTTAGGAGATCGCGACCAAATACCGCAACACGCCCCTTTCTTCGAAATATCTCGGCGTGTCGCAGTGCTTGGTCACATTTTCTTAGTGGCGAAAAGGGCCATGAACAATTGTAGTTTCGAGTTTTATAGGATGCTTAGGGTGCATAGATTGAGTTTGCGCCATAAAAGGACGATCTCACAATCCACCTTAATGTCCGTTTAGAGGGAGACAGACATCCCCCCCAAAATTTTTGTTTTCTTTTTTGCCAGGCGATTTATTCTGGTGTCGGAAGACTACCCAATCAGTACCACCTATATTTTTAATAAACTCAAAAAACGCAACTCGTCAAAACCGAAACTGGACTGGGGAGGAAGAAGAAATATAGAGGAGGAGAGAGTTGGTTGTAGTCACGGGGCTGTGCCTTTTTTTTTCCTTCAATGAAAGTATTTGCAGCTTGAAGCCACAAAAAATGGGTATTATATTTATTCTCTATTTTTAATATTGAGTGTGTGCCTTCGATGACCCACGACTTTGATAGAATTTGGTGGTTGTGCCTAAACCATAGAAAACGGCACGTGACCACCGAGAAGAAAGTGAGCGCGACTCGAACCGACCAGTTCTCGATCGGCGGTTTTTGGGCGGAAAGAAAATGAATTTCGAGTTGCAAATTGTGTTCTGGGTAGTTGGGCTCTCATATGTCATGTACAAATAACCTTGGCAAGCATAAATACTCTGTCATTGTTTCTTTAAAGGGGCGCTAAAGTGCTTTTTGAGATACTTGTTTTATGGTCATTACTTCATCTGCGAGCTCTGAGCAATCTAATAAACCCAGCATTACATTCATGCGCGACCGATTTGCACTTAGAAAAAAATGATCAAAGTCCCTGACACTTACCGTCGTCGCAGAACAACAGATGGTGCTACTGAACTTTGCTGAATACGGTAAAACGATGGACGGCGCGTGTCAGCCACTTGCGAGCGATAGGTTTTTGCGTGGACGAGCAGCTAACCAGTCCGGGTCGTTCACGCGGGAACCCATCGCTTTCAAATCGATGACAAGTGCCGTCCGAGCCGTCCGACGTTCAATCGTATTCAGCAAGGTTCGTTAGCGCCATCTGTCGTTCTGCGCCAACGGTGAATATCGGGATGTTTGATCACTATATTAATACTCAAATCGGCGGCATGAATGTAATTTCGGGTTTTAGGGCGAAGCTCCTTAGGGGCTAGCCATGTCCGTATGTCCGTCTGATGTCCGGCGTTGGGTGCTCATGCTCACGAGCACATACTCCCGTGCTCGTGTAGGGCAAAAAAAAACTCATCTCCAAGTGGTGAATGATGTTGATTGGGGCGAAGCTTTGGTGGTGAGCCGCAGCATGCCGAGCCTTTCGTTCATTTTTATCCATGTCAGAAAGAGAATGTGTGGTATGGAACGTGGTTATATACGCATTTGAGCATTTGACCGCAGCGAGACATGGATGAAAACGAACGAAAGGCTCGGCATGCTGCGGCTTAGCATCTACGCAGACAAGCACCACCAGAGCTACGCCCCAATCAACATCATTCACCACGTGGAGATGCGTTTTTTTTTTTTTTTTTTTCAGGGTGATTAGAGTTTGTAGATTGAGTTATGACAATAAAACGAGGATCTCACGAAGTCCTTAATAGTGCCGCTTTAAGACAGATCTGATGCGTGGATTTTAAAGGCTAGTCTGCGTCATGCTTGCGTCGTGCCCTCCCCAGGGTGTTCCTGTCGGTGGTGATCCCGGCGCCCGAGTCGGTGCTGGCAGACGTCCCGCACAGAAACTCGAGCCGGGTCCAGTTTGGCGTGACGCCGGTCTTCTTCAACGTGGGCATCAACGAGCAGGCAACCCTGGCAGAAAAGTGAGCCCCCCCCTCCCTCTCCGCATCTGGTGTCCGGTCCAGCCAGGCTTCTACCTTTTTGTGGTTGATGCTTCTTTTGATACAAAAGAGTTCCTTCCAAGTTCTTTTTATTTTTTTTCGCAGATTCAGTGCTTTTCAATGTCTTTTTCGGTGTCGAACCAAAAAGTCTTTTTTTTTTCGGCCACAGTGTGCGAAGAAACAAAAGTGATACCTGTAGCACAGTCGCGCAATGCGCGACTGTGCTACAGGAGTGGTAGAATGGTGTCGTTGCATGCCTGAGGACGTAGGTGCACGGGTTTAATTCTCATAGCTGTCATGGATTACACTGACGACTGCCACCAGTGCTCGGTGATCCGTGAAGTAAGTGGGTAAGCGCGGTAGCCCAATACTGGGATAGCGTAAAACTGGGACTTTATATAAAATGGTGTGTCTGCGTGATATTTGCTCGGGATCACGCATTATAATTTGCCCCATTACCGTGACAGCTACCGCTGCATGTGCTAACAGAGGCAGAGAGCCATTTTGTGGGTTTCGTGTGGTAAACGTGTTTAAGACATGGCAGCTGTACCCTGCGTGCTGTTTAATGTTTACAGACGGTAGGCTGGTTCTGTTGTCACTGACAGGACAAGCATGACGGGGTGTATCTTTCAGGTGCCTTCAGCATGTGCTCCTTGCCTTTTGTCGTGCTTTTCTGAGCTCATGAATGGCCGTAGAGGTAGGCAGAAAGCTCACGCTTTAGTCGAGTGAATTCTAATTCCCGTCTGCATTCTCGTACCGTTGGCGGCTACAGGAGACGCACCCAAAGGGCCGAAGATAAACCGCCCCGTTGCAGTTTACATTCGTCCCTGCGTTTCTTTCCGCACTTTTCCTTGTATGCTATGAACCTATCGGCCCACGCCACCATTTTGTGGTAGCATTCTTTTTTGGTTGGCGGGACTGACGGAAACCCCCCCGGCCTAGGTTTGGCGACCAGAGCTTCCAGGAGCGCATCAACCACGACGGCGTGGCGGCCCTGCGGGACTACTACCGGCGCCTGCAGAAGTTCCCCCTCCCCAAGAGCGAGGCGCCCGGGGCCAGGGGTGGGTGCCTCCTTTCCAAAGCCGGTCGAGACGGCCCAGGCGATCCAACTTTTTTGGTGCCTTTACCGTCGCGCGCCCCTCAGCGCTCGTAATGTGCGGGCGTGATTTCGCGTTTTCGCCGTTTCCATTTTGGGAAACCTAGAGTTAGTCTCTCGACATCTGCACGGCCCCGTCTCATCAATTTTTATCCTCGATCTGCGCGCGCGATATCAGTTCCCGTGACATGCAAGTTCGTAGCGAGTTTCTACGTGTTTAATCCGCGATCAGCGCGCGTGATATTTGTAGCCGGTTTTCGCCTGTTTATCGCACTGTTAAACGAATCGGCTGCATCTGCAGTATCTTTTCCCGTGACACAGGAGTTTGTAGTGAATTAACACATGTTTATCACATTCTGAAACTCGAATTAGCTGTGTCTGCGATCTGCTGTATCAGTACCCCTGTCACTTGGTTTGTATAGTGAGTACCGTATTTATTCGAATATAAGGCGAGGTTTTTTTTTTCAAAATCCGTAGTCTCAAAGTCATACCCCGCCTTATATTCGAAGCTCAGTATAGCAATATGACGATTTTTTTTCTTTTTTTTGGGCCCTTTAACTGTCCCCTCGCCTTATAATCGTGACCGCCTTATATTCGAATAAATACGGTACCCCTCTACTTAATATTTATCGTTTCATAAAGTTCTGCTGTCTCACTCATTCCCCACTATTGCCCAGTTCATTTTTTCACTAGTTATCTCTTCATTTTGGGTGGGTGCCCTTGAAGGGCAACTCCGCTTCATTTTTGCTCGTGAAAAAGCAATGCAGTCCTCTTCAGTAGTAAGTAAGAAGACCACACATGAAATATTACGACCTAGTTCTGCCTAAATGTTTCTTAAACGGTCTGGCACACTTTGCAACGTGCCAAAATCAGCTGACTCTAGCGGGCGAATTGAGGCACAACTAACAGCGCGGTCAAGGCTGCGGCATTGCCATAGCCAACATTGAGCTAAACATCATCACCATTGCCCCTTTCAGGCAAGCGTAATGGGTGACATCAGCAACGTGTCCTTTTGGCGCTCAGCAGTGTCCACGTGATTGGCGTAACCCCTGCGCAGCACGCTTCTTGGGAGCCGTCCCGCCGTTACCACCGTCTCCCGCGTCACAACCGCTGTCGTCATCTCACCGTTTGTGATTACAGTCTAAGCTCATTATAGCAGACCTGGTTACAACAGTCATTTGGATATAACATATCGACTTGTGAGGTTCGGTTGGTTTTCCTCTATGCACCATTGACTCAACTTCATATCTGCATACAACATACTCCTTTTACAACAGACCGAAATCCTGGTCAAAATCAAGATCTGTTATAACGAGCTTAGACTGTATTGTCTCTCGGAGTTTCATTCACACTACGTGCGCAGACTGATGTCGCAGTTGTGTAGACATCGTCGAATGTCATAGACACCAAAACATGGTGAAGATGCGCTGCAGACGACACTTGCGCCTGGCACACGCCCGCCCCAACGGCAGCCCGACAGCCCGCCCCAATCCCGCCCGTTGTTGCGTAGAGGATCACGTGACATCTCGTACCACGCAATAGCCATGTTTTTGCCGGCCCAAGCCAATGTTGCCAAATGGAGCCGAAGTTTCGGTTTCAATTTCTGCTCACGTTTAAAGCTAGGTTTAACAATGTATGTCCAATTTTTTGCAAAGCAAATGACATAGTGTCTTTTATTAGTGCTTTTTAATGTACATCACTCATTATCCCAAAATGTTTGGAATTGAGCAAAGTTGCCCTTTAAAAGATCTTTGCGGCACTTAATTGGTTGTCATTAATTTTGGGCAAACTGCATAGTAAAGTGAATGGTCATTGAGCTGCGTGTGTTTTAACCGTCTTCAGAGTCCGTCGTGTGGAGCATCAAAAACCAACGAAACGGCCAGCGTAAGCATTGCCAGTGGCGTACCGGCATCGGTGTCGTGTTTTTGCTACCTTACACATGTAGCGTGTCGCACCGGTGTGGACGACACACATGAATTGCGCGGTTTCGGGATCGAGTGTGCCAGGTTTTTAGGTGTCCGAGTTTTTAGGCCCATTCCAGCTTGCCTCCTCGGCGCTTTTGAATCCTGCACTAAGGCAGCTTCCACCGAAGTTTCCTGGTACATTCTAGTTACTTGGCATATTTCAGTTGGTAGAATTTGTTTAGGACAAGTGTTTCATTAAAAAACTGTCTGCCCAGAAAGTGTAATGCAAAAGTGTAACAGTTCGTCCTCTTGCTGAATTTACTGGGAACATCAAAGTAAGGGCTGAGATAACAAAAGTAGGATGAACACACCCAGCTGAAAATTTAGAGCACATTCCATGTCTCCTGACTTTATCCGTACGACTAGGACATGTTTAAATTCTCCCCCCCCCCTTCTCGAGATGGTACGTCCTAAATTTAGACCCGAAACTTCGATGTGACCACGTGACCAGTAAGCGGTTTTCAAAGGAAACACTCCGAAAGGTTTTGGCGCTTCGTTCTATTTGCGTGGGATTCCCGGTTAGGAAGCAACATCTAGTTTTGATTCGATAGTAAGGTTGATAGCTGGGCAAGTTGGCAGTCACGGAACATATACTTGGTAATATAGCACAAACTCAAAGATGAAAAGAAGAAAGGGTTGGCGCTCTGTCCTGTCCCATTCTTCCCATCTTTCTGTTTGCGTTGTTTTACCTCGGTATGTTTGGGTTTTGATGCAACGTGTCGGACGGCTTCTTTTGCGGGGCGCAGGAATCCAGCCGAGAGACGTGCCGCTTCCCGAGCTCATTGAGCAGATTCAGTGCCGCGTGAAGTCCCGCAAGAGCAAAGACGTGGAGATTCTGCACCTGGCAATGGAGGTGAGCTATAATAATACAGTTGAACCTCGATTTAACGAAGTCGTCTTTTGAGCCGAAAATTTTGCTAAATCGCGAGTTTCGTTAGACCGAGGTTTTCGTTTTTTAGCATTACAAGTGGTCTGCTTGGCTTCCAAAACTCCCCGATTGCCTCACATCTAGCAAGTGAGCGTTTACAAATAAGATTCCAGTACAAAATGTGGCGGTAATAGAAGAATGCAGTTCATCGACCCACATTTTGTACGGTTATGGGAGCAGTGCCTAGCACCGTAGGAGAGCGTGCAGTGCGAAAAGCAAAACGAAACCAATACACCACCGCGGAGCGGACTGTTCGTAACTGCCAACAGATGGCGCCACGTAGGAAAACAAAACTTGTTACTATCATCATCATCGTTTTCAACTTTCTAGCGCCTGTAACTGCCGACAGATGGTGCCACGTATGCGACCATCATCGGTTTTCAACAGAGCCATCTCGTTCATTTATGTCCGCGCGGTGCAAATGGCAGCTAATATTATGTCACCGAGAGTGAGACGCGACTCTCTCAGAAAGTCAATAAAGCGAACCGTTCGTCAGCTCTCGTACACTGGTATGTTATGACTACTGTAGTTGCGACTTCTAATTTAAACCGCGCTCGATCAGTCAACACATGACAAAAAATGTTTACAAATGGGAAACTATTTATTTGGAGACCTCGGCACTTGTGTTTAAGGTGCGGTCAGGAAGTCGGTGAGTTTCGTTTGACATTTAGTCGTCCAGAGCATTGGCGTCGCATGGCAATCGTATGTTGACAATGCCGCTAGCGCTTGTTCCTGTGATTGTGTGCCCGCATACATCTGCAGAAGTTCGATGGCGTCCATCACCTCTTTTGACGTAGGCACGTACTACGTTGGAGCCTCGGGCTCTTCATCGACCTCGTCTTCACGCATTCGTTTGTTTGTTGCACTCAATTATCGCCTCGTCATCCATTTCTTTGATTACAATAACACACACATTGCTAGATATATAGTCCTGAAGAGTTACGTTGCTGGGCACTGCACCTTGCTCGCAAAGCTGCTGCCAAGAGTCAGCAATGTCCGCGGATGGTCCCGTGGACTCCTCATTGCCGTCTTCATCGGTGCATTCAATTTCTTCATCCAAAGAAACGCCTTTTTCTTTAATGCCAGCCTTTCTAAAACAGTTTGCAAAAATGGCTTGGCTGGTAGAGTCCCACGATGCAGTGAGCATTTTTACGGCAATGAAGACATCAATGTTCGTGACTCTGTTGAGGTGCATGCTCAATAAAAGTTTTTGTATGATGCGCTTGCGATATGAGCACTTCACACTGTTGATTACGCCTTGATCCAGTGGTTGTATCAGTAATGTACAGTTAGCAGGAAAGAATTGCAATTCAATGTTTGATAGCACTAGGTTCTGAATATGATGGACCGAACAATTGTCTAAAAGTAGACAGATGCACCTCTTTCACTTCTGCATATCCTCATTGAGCTCGGTTAACCAGTTGCTAAATAAAGCGCGTGTCATCCAAGACATGCTTTACGGGCATTCTCTTGCTGCCTTTAAAGCACCGTGGCTTGTCACTCGTCCCGATCACCAACGGAACCTGTTTGTCGGTTCCGCACCGTGGCTTGTCACTCGTCCCGATCACCAACGGAACCCGTTTGTTGGTTCCGTCCATATTTGCACATAGCAACACTGTCAGGCAATGCTTGAACTGTTTACCGCCATGGCACTTTTCATTTTTTAGTGTGAGGGTTCTGCTTGGCAACAGCTTAAAGAAAAAGGCAGTTTCATCGGCATTGTAGATGTCAGCGACGTCGTAACGTGCCAAAATATCCGGGACACAATCACGTAGCCAGTCAGCAGCTCCGATTGTGTCAGCTGCAGCAGACTCGCCACTCACTACCCTTCCGACGATGCTGTGGCGATCTTTAAATCATTGCAGCCACCCACTGCTGGCTTTGAAGTCGTCGCATCCAAGTATGCATGCAAAGTCCCGGGCTTTCTGTTGAAGCAGCTCTCCGCTCAAAGGCACGTTCTTACCCCGCATGTCGGTAAACCAAGTAAACAGGGCCTTTTCGAAGTCGACGTAAGCAGCAGTCTTCAGGTTCTTCTTTTGCTGTACTTGAACCACTGGCACTTACGGTGGCTATGATGCTGTCTTTTAATTTCAAGATCGTGGAAAGTGAACTCTGCGAAAAACCATACTTCCCGGCAACCGCCTTTTTCTTTTCGCCATTCGTCACTTTGGCAATTATTTTCGCCTTCATGTCGAGAGCTAGAACTTTCCTTTTGCGCGGTAGGTGCACTCATTGTTCCCGAAGGAAGACCACAATCACTCGAAGCACGAAACAATATTCGTTGTTCGTTAGGCATAGGTGCACGTAATGGTGGACCTTTTCCCCCACGAAAGGCAGAGGCTCTCGTCATCATCATCACCACCACTTGTGTGTACTTTTTTTTATTTTGTGAAAAAGATAATGTCTGCTCAAGTTTTTATGTTAGTTTTCGACGATAAAGTTTGTTGCCGATAATTCTTTTTCTTGCGGAAGCCGCCGATGTGTGTAAATGCGATTTCAAAGGACTTCATTAAATTGAAACTGCGGCGCAAAAGTACTTCGCTAAATCGAGAGATAAGAATGCAAAATAGGGTGACAAAAAAATTTGTTAAATCGCGATTTTCGTTAGATCGGGGTTCGTTTGATCGAGGTTCAACTGTAGTAACTTCATTTTCATAGATTATGATGGGGCCCCAAAACGAAAAAAGCTGCAGTAGGCAGCTTGACTGGTCTTCAGGGCCCTTACACTGATCAGCAGCAAGCATGTGGAAACATACAAAACATACAAAAAATAACTTATACTACAGCAGGAACATTGGACGTCTACAGTTTGTATGTCTACAAACTAAGGTTCACTATAATACAAAACGGGAAACTAAAATGATAATCACATGCAAAAATATAAGCACATGTCCTTGAAAGTTAAACTCTCAAAACCAATATTAATTCAATTCGTTTTTTTTTTTTCAATTCAATGTTTTTTATTCAGACAGCATACATCAGACAGTTGTCTAGGGGGCTGTCGCAAAAGGCAACTAAATGCCTGACGAGGCTTTGACCCCCTTTCTGCACCTTACGCACTATTGTATCTTCAAGCAAATGTTCTTTATTTGAAGATGAACAGTGTATTTGTGTATTTTATACGCATTCCATTGCACCTTGATATTTGGCTTGGTGGTTGCAGAGTTCTTTTAATTGTCATTCTAACGCAATCTTCATGAAGAGTAACCTGCCATCTGATCTACACGAATGCAGTTCTTTCGATTCTATACATTTCATTGTTTACAAGAATCACAGTCTACATATATTAGGTCTTAGCCCAGCATGCACATGTTTGTCGCTTTGGAAGGCGAGCAAAGTATGTGCCACACACACGAACGCTGAACATAGCATCGACCAGAAGCGCTCTTCAGAAATGGTCTATAGATCTTTTGCTAAATTACTTAAGCACAAAGGAGCATGTTCATGCCACAAGAGTAGTTACACGTGCTGGCACCTGCAACAGTAACTTTTCTAAAGAAGATCTCAAACAAATGGCATGTTCCTTGTTATACGAGCGTGTGAGGCACGTGTACCCACATTCCGAGCATTATCCGTGGTGCTTTGGCAATAGTAGCGATTTCACGAAACTCGAGCGTACCGAGTTGCAAAAACAGGTTTTATTAATTTTAATTGCTCCCGTTTTTGTTTTTGCTTTCTCATAGTTCAGCATGTAGGCCAGGGTTATACTTTGTGCAAATATAGATTATTATCAACTTCAAATAGCACGAACTCCCAGGTAGACGCGAGAAAGGCAGGCGCGAGCATACCCGATTGCCGGCCGCGTGCCTCGTTGCCCCCAGGTGATGCCACGCTTGGGTAGTGGGAAAAAACTGGGAAAAAACTAGGGAGAACGATGTTTCCGTTTCGGCAGCAAACAAAATATAACTTTTTTAATTAACTAGAGCAGGGGTTCTCAAACTTTTTGGCCTCACGAAACCCCAGGAAGCCTCAAAAACTGCCGCGGAACCCCCCCTCCCCTCCATATTTGTCGACCGAGAGGCAACAGATGCACAATTGTAGGCAATGTTGCTTGTGTTGCTTCCCATATATCCCCACCATATGAATCGAGATGCCAGTACAAAGAAAGATGAAGGCGCTTTGCATGGTCCTGCCACCTGCCGCTCAGCCTGCGGCATGGGGGGGGGGGGGTTGCGATTTGGGTGTTCACGGAACCCATGAGACCAGCTCATGGAACCCATGTGTTCCCCGGAACCCAGTTTGAGAACCCCTTAACTAGAGTGAATCTGAAAGAATGAGATAGCATTTTGGAATCAGGAAGCCATCTGCATTCAGATGATGCCTTTGGATTAGGTAGCTCGAAAAATCGGTGGAGTTCCTCTTCAAAAGCACCCTGAAATGATTTTAATGTAGAAGGAACTTTGGCCAATCGTTATGGTGGTGCAAGCGATAGAAAATGCGTCACTTTTCACTGGGATATTGTTGGAATTATCTTATTAGGCAAGCTCGTTAGTGGTGGCAGTTTGGTAAGGTGAAGTGCTGATTGTTAGGGTTCCCTAGGATAGTTCCCTAGAGCGGTGAAGTCAATTGTTAGGGTTCCGTATAATTGCTCTCTAGGATAGGGTTCCCTAGAAGTTTAAAACCAATTGTTGGGGTTCCCTGGGATTCCCTAGTGTTGTTCCCCAGAAGTAATCTTGAATTTGGGGAGTCTTTCTAAAAGCGGCAGTTTCAAAGGCTGCATCCACAAAATGGTGAAAAGATGTTAAAAAGCACTCTGTGTGCGTGCCTGGCAGGCGTGCCGTCGGCTGCGTGGGCTCCGTTTCACGAGCTGCAAGAGTGCCAAAGACCGAACAGCCATGAGTGTGACCTTGGAGCAGGGCCAGATCTTGGTTCAGGACTTTGGCCTGGACCCCAAGGAGCTGCCCAGGGCCGTGGCCTGCATGCGCAGGTAAGCTCGCTTCTCCAGCAACTTGGGGTCGGAAGTTCAGAAATCTGGGAAACTTCCAATAGGGAAAACCACGAACTGAGGAGAAGGAAAGGGGAAAAGTTCGCAAACAAATGAAAGACATGGGAAGGGACTATTTCACGACACAATTAATTTACACCAGCTTACCCGCACTCTTTGTGCCTTTTAAAAGTTGGAACCTCCGTTTTTTTCTAAACAGGGAATATGGGGAGAACAATGTTGGGACTCTTCCACTAGGGAATGTGATGAAGTTAATCTGGGATTTCCTGTGGGGAAAATTGGGGAAACTTAACATGTTTTTCTCAGTTTAGGGAACGTTGGAAAAATAGGAAATGTTGGGAATCTAAACTAGGCAATTTTGGGAAGGCTACATGGTTTGGGAGCTGCCAATCCAAAAAAGTGAAAAAACTGGGAACATCTGAAGCAACTTCGCTCAGTTCCAAACATTCCTGGATAATGAGCGATTTCACATTAAAAAGCACTAGTAACAGGCATTACTTCATTTGCTTCACGAAAAAGGGGATATATATTGTTAAATCTTACTTTAAGCATGAGCAGAAATCGAAACCGAAACTCTGTCTGGCAACATTGACCTCGGGCCGCCAAAAACATGGCTATTGCATTGTATGAGATGTCACATGATCCACTATGCAATGATGGACAGGATTGGAGTGATCTGACAAGTCACCGTTGGGGTGGTCGTGTGCCAGGCACAAGTGTCGTCTGCAGCACTCTCTACTTCACGTTTTTTGGTGTCTACGACGTTCGCGATGTCTGCACAACTGCGGCATCAGCCTGCGCACGTAGCTTGAATGAAACTCTGAGAGATAATAAGCACTAACAGTGAGACGACGACGGTGGTTGCGACGGGGGAGACAGCGGTGACAGCGGGACGGCCAGACGGCTCCCAAGAAGCGCGCTGCGCAGGCACGTCTCGCCAATCACGTCGACACAACCAAGTGCCAAGAGGAAACTTTGCTGACATCACCCGTTACGTTCACCCGGAGAAGTAAAAACAAGCAAAAAAGAGCAATGATGACGACGTTTAGCTCAGTGTTGGCTATGCCAACGCTGTAGTCTCAACCGCGCCGTAGGTTGTGCCTCGATTCGCCTACCAGAGTCGGCCGATTTCGGCAACTTGGCACGCTGCAGAATTTGCTGGATTGTTTAAGAAGCACTTACAAGGAGCTAGGTCGTAACATTTGACGTGTGGTCTTCCTAGGTGGTTTTGAAGGGGCCTGCATTCTTTGTTCAAAAACAAAAATGAAGCAGAGTTTTAAGTGCTATGAGTCGAAAATCCTAGAGGTAACAATAAAATTAAAATAAAACTTTATTTAAGCTCAAACTGCCACCACGCTATACACTCACATACGAGTCAAGAATGTGCCAAAAGCTCTGCCCCCAGCACGACCGTCCTACCTTCGGCAGCATTTCGGAGTCATGCGAGCACGCCCAGCCAAAGTGTGATAGAAGGCAAGGAGCACGTGCTGGAGCTTGCAGTTGTAGCTAGCTACAGCAGAGTCTGGCCTGCTATACTTGGCGAAACTTTTCTCGGCAATGCAGTGGAGGGTACAGGCACGCATTCCCTCTCCCTTTTTGAGCACTGAATAAAGCTGTGTGCGGGCTGTCCTCCTCTCTACTGCATTGCCAAGAAAAGTTGTCGCCGAGTATAGTATCGTTAATCTGTTTGTCTGGGAAGGATTCGCAGAGAAAGTCGTCTGCCTTTTGCGCAGGAGGTTGCCGTGACGTCAGAACAACGCCGAATTCTCATTGGCTCTGATTAGAAGGATAGTGGGTAGACCTCAATGCTAGATGCCTTGAGGTCTGCCCACTATTTATTTCAATCGGTCAATAAAAGGTCAGCATTCTGTCATCATTGCAGCCCCTGTGCAAGAAGCGGACGAACTTGTGCTCCACATTGTTTTGGCATGCTGTTTTACAGAAAATGCTCTCTCTTAATTTGTGGAAACGACTAATCCTCTTTTTGGGAAGCAACAGTGTCACTCGAAAATCGGAGGGATTAGAGTAGATCAGAAATACTCGGCTCGATTGGCGAGCGAGCGTTCTGCAATCCCTAAACATTTTCCGGCAGATTCCAGGAGTTTGTGGTCTCCCCATTTGAGAACCACCACCGTTTGACGGTAACACATTTTAAAGTGGCCACCTGAACGCGACACCGCACGCACCGCGGGAGGTGTTTTCATTTGTCGTGTCTTTGGCAAACTATAAACATTATACCTACACTGTGTTTCACTTTGCTGGGGCTATTTATAGAGTTCCAATTAAACGCTCTGCATGCCTGATACGTGCATGTCGGCTGCTCTGGCGGTACTGGCAATTGGAGCGCCTGCTCTTCCAATTTAGACCTCTAATGCTTCTCAGAACGAATTCAAAGATTGATAGCTTAGCACCCAATGGAAACACTCTGTGAAGCACCTCCGGTTCGGAATTTGAAACCGCCGTGATGTCGGCAGTAGCAGACGCGCCAAAATAAAACCGAACGGAAGGAAGGCGACAAGTTTTCGCCTTCAATAGTTTTATTTGATGCTTCTAAAATTGAACAGGTTGTAAGCACTGTATGTGCTCCCACTAAATAATAAAAAAACACCTGCAAATTGAATTTTCCTTCTTACTATTTCTTTGGAAACAACACAAAACCACTGGGAAGCATTTCAAGAGAAAAGAACTCGGCCATCAAAGGGATCTTCCGCCATTTCCCACATTTGCTTCAACGTTTTCCTCCACTCCCCACGACACAAGAGTTTCTGTGGGGTCGCGGGGAAAATGAGCCGGGCAGGGGTGCCGAGGAAAGATTCTAACGCGTCTCTGTCCCTTACAGCGAAGGCACACGCCGCCAGAACACCTTCAAGAATGTGGGCGTGCGCAAGTACGCCTTCAACAGCCTCCAGCTGATGGCCCTCCCGAGGCAGTACCGGCCGCCGCCGGGCACCTTTGGCAACGTCCAGTCCTAGCCGGCAGAGCTCCCTGGATTTCGACAGACGCCTGTCTTCTGGAGAGACTTTTGTTCGCCCCCGGAGGGGTTATTCGTGTTATTTTAATGTAGGCAATAGTCCAACTGCTCCTAGTGCATCTGGCACGGGGCATCAATAGAACGCCTTATGTATGTTCGGCTTGGAATCGCTCAGCCACTACCCTATACCAGCAGCCCCAATGAAGACTGTACGGGGAGTTTAGTTTTAATTTGAGCGGATTGAAAAAGAAAAATTCTGGGAGTTACACGGGCTCCGTCTTCACGGGTTGGTATTCGTTGGACTCGGCGGACGTTATAGTCAGTTACAGGTTAAAAAATTTTTTTTGAGGGAAAGGAGGTCAAAAGAGGAGGAAGCAGACGGAATGTTGGAGAGAGGAGAGGAAAAAAACCTCCTCCCCCCTCCAGCATTTCACCTGCTTCTTCCTCCCCAGTCAGAAAACTTTTCTTAACTTGTCACTGACTATAGACGAGGGAATAACCGGCGGAAAAAGTTGGCCGATTCGCTAAAATCTGTTGATTACAATCAATAGGTTTTACGGTTCGCGTTGGAATTGCGACGTTAAAGTTGGCCGTGGCGAGAGATAGAGGGAAAAACTTTATTGAGACGACAAAGCACCCGAAACGAATTTGTCCTTTTTACGGGTATCGTCGTTCGACTGGAGTCCCGGCTCTCTTTCTGCATCAGTTTTGATATCCTTAGACAAAAACACGAAAACTGATCGTTAAATGTGTGAAAATTGGTTTTCTTTGTGTAAATTGTTTTAGTCTAGCTTTTAATACCGACTTCCCTTTAAACTTGAAATTACAGCATGGCCAATTAAACCATTAATTAAAAAGTTAATTTATGGGTTTCTGTTAACGAGCCAACTTATTATTGTGGGCATAAAAATGGCATGCAGTGAGGACAGCATTCCTATAATGGTCACACCTTTTTTTTTTTTTCTAAGAGTAAGAATTGATGTTGAGCACCCTGTAAATATGTAGCTCTCTCGATTTTTGATCACGTGCCATAGTAAGCTGTTGAGGAAACCTTGGTTTCGTTTAAAATTGTTAGGGGAACCTGCATGCGCAGTTAAAAAGACGAGGTTGGTACCCGCAGGCTGTTCAATACAAATAGCGCATCACCATTTCATAACGAATGCACGTCACAAACTCCACTCGTAACAGGCTCCAGTTATTACGCACTATTCATACCTACAGATACGCATCCGATACGAGCAGCCTTTTAATACAACTGGACTTCATTCAATCAATCCACAAGTGTTTCAGATCGAAAACTTTGCTCCGCTAATGCAAGGGAAGACATTATACAGTATCTGAGCAAGGCCCACGAAAGCCCCGCATTGTTAGAGGAGCCATCGTCCATAATTATTATTAATGTCGGTAATTCGTATTACCGTTTGTAATGCAGGCAGGTATACGTAGCTTCATCTGCCTCTGGTCTTGCACGAGTGTTGAGCCCCGAAGTTTGTCGGTGTCTGAGTGGCGAGTGCATTCGAATGACTTTTGAAACCGGTGTTGTGTTGGAAACGTTAGAGCGACCGACAAGAACGAGGGAAATGTGCGATTCAGTGAAATAGTTTTTTTCTCAACTTGGGGTGCCAACAGGGATTGTCACACCAGCCAATGTTGCTTAGATATTATTTATTTTCTACAAATGCTTTTTATTAAGATGGCAATTTGGGCCAGTTGGTTCATGATCGAAGATAGGTGCCAAAAAAACAAGGACAAGAAGAGACGTAAACACTGGCGCTTCGAAAAAAACAAGGGCAAGAAGAGAGTAAACACTGGCGCTTCAAAAAAAAAAAAAAGAAGGACAAGGAGAGACGTAAACACTGGCGCCATTGTTTACGTCTCTTCTTGTCCTTGGTTTTTTGGCGCCTATCTTCGAAATGCTTGTTTGTTTTTGCATAATCTTTACGGGTTTAATTAAATTGTTTGCCTGCTGTTTTACCACAGTGTAGTTCAGGATGTTCTTTATCTCCTCTGGCGCATTTAAGCTTGTGTGTGTCGACATGAACCGAGCAGACATTTTCGGGTGGAGGCTCGTTTTATACGGATGCAAAGTTTAAATGCATCGGGCTAACCATTTCGTCCACTCTATGTCTATATGGAATGTAACGTTTGCTCATGGATCTTGTGGCGTGAACTTTGTGTGCCAAGTAACTTATATAGGTTGAAAGTGTATATGAAGTTTGTTGATATCCAACTGAAGGATACATGCTCAGTAGAGTTGTTTTAGCGATGTTACTGAGATTATACTGATGAAAAAGCATAACGGTTGATTTATTTATGTAATTTGAAAGCAGTCTTATGACTGCCTATGCATGCCTACTCGATAATTATGTGGTAGGTGAAATTATGGTTCAGTCAGAGCAGGCTCATGATAAGAGCAGATAATGAATTTAATATATTATATATAGCACATTTTACTCAATCAATCCCAAGTTCATAGTTGCTTTTGCATAATTACCATCCAACTAAAACCAAGCATGTTTCATTATGCCCGTTATAAATATTTGTCGAATATGTCTTTAATTCGGGCAGCATGATGGCCAATAGTTGTCTTTCCTAATTTCCTAAACAGCATCGACGATATCATGTTTGCTAGGTTTTAGGAGTACTTCTGAGCCCAGTAGATGTGCCATTGTTATTTAGCTCGGCTATTTTGGGGTTCTCAATGCCCGCACAATTCCCAGTAAAAGAATGGCAGTTTTTGTATTTGGTAGGTTCGTGGGAACGATGAAAAGTAGCTTGACGAGCTAGCAGCTCGTCAATGGTATTATGACGAAAGTTTGCTTCCATACGATTGAGTGAGTCTCGTGCACTTTTTGTTTCGATTCCTACCAGATTAAGGCACACAGTTTTGACGGATTTTTAAAAAATGTCCCACCTTATGCTACAACAGTGGACCCTTTCCAAAAGTGAGCCTAGCCACCCTGTTGGGGGCTGTACCAGCGCCAGCTAGACTTTGTTTCACTTCGTGTGCGGTCGAAGCCAAAGCTTTGTGCACATTGCCAAGAGGAGGAAGTGAGCACGCTTTGCTTAGTTCATCTACAGTGCTGGTCCAACCCAGTCCACCGATGGCAATGTAGAAAACCTGCTTTTCTCTATACCATCCAACTTAAACGTCCGTGAAAGCACTATCCAGCAGCACAAACTGCATTTCGGCAGTGGGGTATATGAATGCCATAAAGTCGCTAGGAATATTTTTATTTATGTTTTGCACCGGTTGCCATTTTGAGTCCCTGAATTTCGTACACACCTTGAATGAGTTAGACATAGATAACAGTAATTCGTCGTCGCACTAAAAAGTATCATTCGTCAATGTCGGCATCTTTGGATCTGTATGTGCAGTTGACTGCTTAATCTTTCTTATCTGCACTGATCCCCAAAAATGACATAATCTTGCGCACCTTACTTTTCGGAACCGACATTTGCTTCAACCCCCCTTTTTTTTTCTTTTTTTTTTAAATATTTTTGTTGGTAAACAAATGAAAAAGGCTTAATTGTAAGTTCCGATGTTAGGAATCCGTAAGGAATGATTGGTGCTTGGATGTGGTGATCAATTGCGGGTGTACGAAAATTTGTAAAACAACCTGTTCCCACGAATTTGGATTGGCTGCTCACTCGGAATGGAGAGATCGAAAACAAACTATGTGCAAATGGAGCCAAGATAATGGTACGCCGCCCAAACTGTAACCTATCTGGTGGTTCTAAATGCATCCTTTGATTTATGAAGTTGTGGCTGGGTGACACTTTTGGGAAGTCCTCCCCCGTGTTGTCACAGTAGAAAAGGTCTCCACACATATTTTGTCGGTGTGTAGCGTCGCAATAAATGGCGGGGTACACTTTTTCTCTCGTGCTAATTAGTCTGTACGTGGGAGCGTTTTTTTACTGAAGATGTATCGGCCTGTTTTAGAAGAGTGAATTCTAGTGTCACCTGTGTAAAGACAGTAAAGAGTGTTTTTTATCAAAACTACCTGTGTCTGTGTTTATCAAAACTACCTGCGTCTGTGAGTGCTCAAGGCTTGTTGTGCATTCGTCGCTAGTCAAGATGCAGTTTGAGCCTGCTATATAATAAGAATACACATTCTGCACTACATTGTATTTCCGCATTATTGTTTGGCAGTGATATTTAATGGCCCACAGCTACAAACTCCGACAAGAATAAAATTTCCGAGAGTAATTTTACGCTGTTCATTATCTTTCGTTTGTCCGATTTCTGCACTTGCGTGCTCTGCTGGGTACCAAGCTACTCCTTGAATTGGCCTGCCACGCTTTGTGCGAAACGTAGGGGCGTGGGAACGCTGTTGTGCAGACGCTGCATGCCATGTGTTTTTTCAGCGGTACGGCTGTCTCTGGAGCCTGCGCTTTGTGTGACCCGTCACGCGGGAGCAAGTCTGGTTGCATCATGAAAGTCGCAGTCAGCGCACTGGAGGAGGCCATTCCAAGACAGAAGAACTTTGTGCGGTTTTGGAAGCGCGATGTCAGAACCGTAGAAGGTGCAAGAAAGAAGGACCTCAAGAGGAAGCTGAACAAGAACCTCGGAGCATACAAGATACAATTCTGCTGTATCAAGGGAGGAAGGGAATTCCAAAGCCAGGGTAGTGGAAAGCGAGAAAGGTGGTATGTGTGGCTTATTGATATTTACGCTTGAGTTTAATTGTGCACCACAAAATCCTATCGGCGTCCCATAGCGTGCAAATCGGGTTGGGGGTGGGGGGATGAAGACTGCGGCAGAAAGCGGCCTGACGTGCGCATCTTTGGGGTGCCAGTACAATTTTTTTCGTGCACGACTAACGAGGTGTTGAGCAATGCATCGGTGAAATTTGAGAAATTTTTGTTTACAGCACATGCTTGGAAGGATGATCTGCCGAGATAAAGTGTATAGCCTCCCGGGAGGGTGGGCACTTGAAGGAGGTTTCGATCAATGAAGCCCAGACGCATTCAGTTTCTGAAGTATGGATAATTTTCATCTTTGGTATAATTGTGATGCATACAGAAGGTTTGGTTTATTTTGAAAAGGATTGAACCCACAACCTAATATGTTGTTTTTTTTTTCTTTCTATAAAGGCACTGCATCTACGTCTGCCTTAAAGCCGATCCCTATCCGACAACGTTGGGCAGGAAATCGTCGATCTTTTAGCCCTTGATGCCAACAAGAAGCTAGTCAAGCAACAAGTACATAAAGAAACTGGGAAGTGGGTGCTTTTAAAGGGCCTCTGCAACATTAAGAGCAGCAGCAAGCCTTCTTCCAGGAAGGATCTCAACAAGACACTTCTCCTACTACAAAATGATTATGGTTCCAATGATGTTTGATAACTGAAAACATGTTTGGTATGCAGGGTTTCAAGTGGTAATCACACCCTTCTATCTTTTATGCAGGCTTAGACTGTCATATTTTAACACGGGACGAGAATTTCCAAGGTCTGCTTATATCCACCCGAGTGTACCCCGAGTTCTTAGGCATCAGCGGAACGTACATGCTCCTCGAGATGCAGATGCCAGTCTTTGTTATTCATGCCGAAGATTCAAATGGATGCACAGGAGTCGTGTGTGTAGCGATTCTAGTTCAGGAAGATGCAGAAAGTCTTGAATGGTTTCTGGCAAAGTTCAAGGAACTCAATCCGTCGTGGGAGAGGACAAGATGTATAATGTCGGATAAGTATCTGCTGGAGCAGGACATCCTGAAGAAGAGCTTTCCTCTTGCGAACACCCTCATTTGTGTCTTCCACACCTTAAGGAAATTTTGTCATGAAGTTTCTTGCAGTAAGTTAAACATCACACTAAAGGAGCGAAATACCGCAGAGGAGCTGCTGCAGAAGATGGTCACAGCAATATGCAAACCTGTGTTTGATGATCTCCGGGCGCAGTTTGATTCTACAATCCCTGAACCTGTCTTGGCCTACTACAACAGAAAATGCCCACGTAGCATCCAATGTCGTGCGAACAATCCCTGGGTGTTCTGAATGTTGAAGGAACGTTAAAACACAATTCGGAACGTTCTAGGAACGTTCGTATGCGAACATTCCTTACAAGGTAAGCTGCTCAACATTCTAGAAACATTTGTTGGCGAACATTCGTATGTGCAATGTACTCAGAACGTTCCCCTTTGAACATTCATATGTGCAACGTTCTTGGAACGTTGGCTTGCGAACATTCCTAGAATTTTCGCAGGTGAAGCCAACTTTACGAAGCTTTCAAGCAACCTGTGTTTCGAAACACCATCCACTATACGCCACCTTGTGCCAAAAATATGCAAATTCAGTGGAGGTTTTGGAAACTTAGCATAAGGGATCAGTTTTATCTTATATGAGTCTACCGAGGAATGTGAGATAAGGTGTAGGAGAAAAGCAATGGTCTTCAAAATTTGATAATAAGCTTGGCACTCACTGCGATGTAGAGGGGCAGTTTTGAATAGACCCGATTTTTAGCATATTGGATTCAATACCATGAAGAAGGTATGTCCCGCTTGAGTGTGGGATGCCGTAGGTATCTGTTCTTCTGCTCAGAGTGAGTAATCGGTTATGTATGCAGCACGTTTTGATAAGTAGAAGTAAACTGCTGTTATAGTGCAGGCTCTGGCTAATGCGCTGGAAAAGCGGCTAGATTGTGCTAGGCCTGGAAAAAATATATTTCGATTAAAAAATATTGATCGCTCTGTGGGGAGATTTATTATACCAATATGGGGTTGTTAACTAAGCAAGTTATAATTGTGGAATCTTATTTGTAAACATTCCTCAGAGAATGCTGCAGATGTTCTGTGGATGTTTTGGGAACGTTCTTAAAACCTTGTTAGAATGGTGATTCAATGTTCTGTCGTGCTCAGAAGGTTCTAAAAATATCCCCTAGAAAACATTCCCCGAATGTAGCGATAAGTGCCTATGTCACATTCTGACAACGTCGATAGAATGTTCTTACGTAAATTTGTAACATTCAGAGAATGTTGCAGAAGTTCTTTGGATGTACTGAGAACGTTTTTAGAACCTTGTTAGGATGTTTCAATGTTGATTGAATGACCTGGTAATGTTCTATGTCGTTCTCAGAACGTTCTAAGAATATCCCTTTGAAGACATTCCCCGAATGTAGCGGTAAGTGCCTGCGCCACATTCTGCCAACGTTGATAGAACGTTCTTACGTAAATCTTCAACATTCCAAGAATGTTGTCTATGTTATTTTAAACATTCCCGGAATGTTTTCAGAACGTTCTCGTGGTATACGTGGGTGGTGCTCTATAGGACGAATGGATTCCGCAAAAGTTCGGCCCATCACTAATAATTACAAAGGGAAGGTCCACATTGTTGCCATGTCGCAACTGCAAGCACATTTAAATGAATTCTGCGTGTCGAAACGAAACTAATTGAAAGATGGGGAAGGCAGACAAGCTGGTGGTCCTCGTAGCTTGAGAAAGCGGAGTGCGTACGTGCAATGTCTAAATTGACCCACTCTGTAGGCGTAAATTGTGCAGTTCTGCAGTTGCTGACGGCCATCCTGCACACTTCTATCGGCACTTTTAACGGTTTTGAATCTGTCTGCCAAATACAAACATCTGTTTAAACCACTAAATTTTGAGCTGATCATCGCGTGAACATAACTCGGGGGGTTTGTGATGTACTTATGATATGTCATGCAGAGGTTTTATGATGGGACGAAGAGATGGTGCCTCAGCTTGCTTACGAGTTCGGCAGTTTGGCAACGGAGTGCACGGCAGATTGCAGAAGAATGCGACCGACGGCTAAGGTACAGCGCGCCACGCGTCGTGGCGCTTCAGCTCAATTTGGCCGCGACAGTAGCATATAGATGCCCAGCGGTGCCAGAATGACGACACCCTGCCGACAGTGCGCGCTTGGTACTTTTGATAGCGCTTCGATGTCTCCTGGGCCTCGAGGCGCAGCCAAAGATTCAAAGGCAACGAGCGCGTGCTCCTAAGAGATCTAACCGCTGGTTCGTTTAACGCGTTTCCACGACATCTTGCAATCACGGGAACAGTCACTGCCGTGCAGAATAATAATAATAATAATAATAATCTTTATTTGCACAGACAGGTGTTTTCCTGGGGGCGTGCGAGGCGAAACAGAAAGGCGGAAGCCCGTACGCTGGTGCGTCTGTTGGCCCAACACACACGTTTGTCACACGGTTTACCGAAACAATGTGTGCTGCGCGCAGTGCTGACAGTGCCGTTCGTGGGGCGGCACTCTGTCCCGTTCGCCCGCCTTGCACGCGTAGCAGCGGCACCCGCTGCCTGACGCTGCTGCAAGTTCAGACTCGCCCCAGCATCCGTGTGCGCATTGGCTTCCGCCCTGTGACGTCGCCTCTCCTGTCGCCTTTTACCTTCACCTCTCGTCATCTCTACACAGCGCGCATCCCTTTCCACTGTTTTGTCCGCAGACGGACGTCATCGGGCTTTTCTTGTCATGTGGATACTAATGCTAACACATAAATAACTCGCAAGCTGGTGGGACCATTTAAAGAGACAGTGACACCCCCCAAAAAAAATTTTTGCCAGGCAATTTATTATGGTGTAGAAAGACTACCCAATAAATATTTTGCAACAGAGTCACGTATATTTTATTAAAGCCAAAAACGCAAGTGCTCGAAACCGAAACTGAAACCCGCACACGGAGATCGGTGAAGTGGAGAGGAGAGAGTGAGTGGCGGAAATCACGTGGCTACTCCCGGATGGTTGGATGGATGGTAATGGCTGTACGCTTTGTAACGGGCGGCAGCTTGCACCACCTAGATTAACTATTCGTCATCCCTTCTTTTTTTTTTTTTTTTAAACAGAACCCGACCGAGCGCTTTTTTTTCTCTCTATGCGCAGCAGACGACATGCGTGGCGGGAACCGTTGCTGTGCGATTCCTTTGCAGTTATGTCTGTTCCGCTCGCTGTTCCTGCACTTCAAGATTAGTTGTTTTATACATTGAGGAGTTGGGGATGAGTACTGAGTACCCGCGGTAAACTTCCGTG